CCTTCCCTTTATCCTCCTTAATCTGTCCTTTTTTGATATGCATCTTAAAAAAATACAAGTCTGAGTGTCAGAGTTCCCGTTAGAATATTTTTTCGCCGGTCAAAATGTCCGTTAAAGTTGAAATCTTCCGGACAAAATTTGAAAAGTGCCGGTTGTGGGGGAAACTTCTGTGTAGCTATGCAGTGGGAGTCACCGACTCATGAAGGAGACACGGGAAGAGCAGGAGCTTTGATGTCAAACACTGATGGTTTATTTAGGAGCTTCGGCCGGAGAATTCACATCACAAGTCCAAGAGCCAGAGGTTCTGACTTCACGGTAGAGTTGCCACGTAAAATCTGAAGAACTCTACCCCAGACCCGTGTGTTTAGTTCAGAGAGAATCATCAACATGCTGCATAACAAGATAGAATGATAACACCTCTGTCAGCTGACGCCAACAGGCAGGAGCAGGGAGACAGAACACTGAGAGCAGCAGCCCAGGTTACAGGTGCGTGCGCTCAGTCAGGACAGAACTGATCAACTGGGTCAAAGTTATGGGCCTCGGAAAATATTTACCCAACACCGGTCAAAAGTGTTCTTTGTTATTTACTGAGCTTTAAAACAAATTGATATGAGTCGATATTAAACAAACTAATTATAGTACATTACTACATACTACATTATTCAAAAGTGTAACTTACAATAACACGGGAATAATAAACGGAGTGCTCTCCCCCTCTCCTGACAGCCCGTCAGTATCATGCAGCTCGCGGATCAGTAATGAGTGACCAGCAGGAGAGGACTCTTTAAAGTAGAGACACTACATACTGATATACACCTGAACACCAGCAGGAGAGGACTCTTTAAAGTAGAGACGCTACATACTGATATACACCTGAACATCAGCAGGAGAGGACTCTTTAAAGTAGAGACACTACATACTGATATACACCTGAACATCAGCAGGAGAGGACTCTTTAAAGTAGAGACGCTACATACTGATATACACCTGAACATCAGCAGGAGAGGACTCTTTAAAGTAGAGACACTACATACTGATATACACCTGAACATCAGCAGGAGGGGACTCTTTAAAGTAGAGACACTACATACTGATATACACCTGAACATCAGCAGGAGAGGACTCTTTAAAGTAGAGACGCTACATACTGATATACACCTGAACATCAGCAGGAGAGGACTCTTTAAAGTAGAGACACTACATACTGATATACACCTGAACATCAGCAGGAGGGGGACTCTTTAATGTAGAGACACTACATACTGATATACACCTGAACATCAGCAGGAGAGGACTCTTTAAAGTAGAGACGCTACATACTGATATACACCTGAACATCAGCAGGAGAGGACTCTTTAAAGTAGAGACACTACATACTGATATACACCTGAACATCAGCAGGAGAGGACTCTTTAAAGTAGAGACACTACATACTGATATACACCTGAACATCAGCAGGAGAGGACTCTTTAAAGTAGAGACACTACATACTGATATACACCTGAACATCAGCAGGAGGGGACTCTTTAAAGTAGAGACACTACATACTGATATACACCTGAACATCAGCAGGAGAGGACTCTTTAAAGTAGAGACACTACATACTGATATACACCTGAATATCAGCAGGAGAGGACTCTTTAAAGTAGAGACACTACATACTGATATACACTGAACATCAGCAGGAGAGGACTCTTTAAAGTAGAGACACTACATACTGATATACACCTGAACATCAGCAGGAGAGGACTCTTTAAAGTAGAGACACTACATACTGATATACACCTGAACATCAGCAGGAGAGGACCTCTTTAAAGTAGAGCCGCTACATACTGATATACACCTGAACACCAGCAGGAGAGGACTCTTTAAAGTAGAGACTCTACATACTGATATACACCTGAACATCAGCAGGAGAGGACTCTTAAAGTAGAGACTACTACATACTGATATACACCTGAACATCAGCAGGAGAGGACTCTTTAAAGTAGAGACACTACATACTGATATACACCTGAACATCAGCAGGAGGGACTCTTTAAAGTAGAGACACTACATACTGATATACACCTGAACATCAGCAGAGGGGGACTCTTTAAAGTAGAGACACTACATACTGATATACACCTGAGCATCAGCAGGAGGGGACTCTTTAAAGTAGAGACACGACATACTGATATACACCTGAACATCAGCAGGAGAGGACTCTTTAAAGTAGAGGACACTACATACTGAATACACCTGACATCAGCAGGAGAGGACTCTTTTTAAAGTAGAGACAATACATACTGATATACACCTGAACATCAGCAGGAGAGGACTCTTTAAAGTAGAGACTCTACATACTGATATACACCTGAACATCAGCAGGAGAGGACTCTTTAAAGTAGAGACACTACATACTGATATACACCTGAACATCAGCAGGAGAGGACTTCTTTAAGTAGAGGACACTGACATAACTGATATTACACCTGAACATCAGCAGGAGAGGACTCCTTTAAAGTAGAAACAACTACATACTGATATAACACCTGAACACTCAGCAGGAGAGGACTCTTTAAAGTACGAGAGGACACTACATACTGATATACACCTGAACCTCAGCAGGCTGAGGACTCTTTAAAGTAGAGACACTACATATGATATACACCTGAACATCAGCAGGAGAGGACTCTTTAAGTAGAGACACTAACATACTGAATATACACCTGAACATTCAGCAGGAGAGGACTCTTTAAAGTAGAGGACTTACATACTGATCTACACCTGAACATCAGCAGGAGAGGACTCTTTAAAGTAGAGACACTACATACTGATATACACCTGAACATCAGCAGGAGAGGACTCTTTAAAGTAGAAACACTACATACTGATATACACCTGAAACATCAGCAGGAGGGGACTCTTTAAAGTAGAAACACTACATACTGATATACACCTGAACATCAGCAGGAGGGGACTCTTTAAAGTAGAGACACTACATACTGAAATACACCTGAACATCAGCAGGAGAGGACTCTTTTAAAGTAGAGGACACTACATACTGATATACACCTGAACATTCAGCAGGAGAGGACTCTTTAAAGTAGAGACACTACATACTGATATACACCTGAACATCAGCAGGAGAGGACTCTTTAAAGTAGAAACACTACATACTGATATACACCTGAACATCAGCAGGAGAGGACTCTTTAAAGTAGAGACAACTACATACTGATATACACCTGAACATCAGCAGGAGAGGACTCTTTAAAGTAGAGACACTACATACTGATATACACCTGAACATCAGCAGGAGAGGACTCTTTAAAGTAGAGACACTACATACTGATATACACCTGAACATCAGCAGGAGAGGACTCTTTAAAGTAGAGACACTACATACTGATATACACCTGAACATCAGCAGGAGGGGACTCTTTAAGTAGAGACACTACATACTGATATACACCTGAACATCAGAAGGGAGAGGACTCTTTAAAGTAGAGACACTACATACTGATATACACCTGAACATCAGCAGGAGAGGACTCTTTAAAGTAGAGACACTACATACTGATATACACCTGAACATCAGCAGGAGAGGACTCTTTAAAGTAGAGACTCTACATACTGATATACACCTGAACATCAGCAGGAGAGGACTCTTTAAAGTAGAGAAACTACATACTGATATACACCTGAACATCAGCAGGAGAGGACTCTTTAAAGTAGAAACACTACATACTGATATACACCTGAACATCAGCAGGAGAGGACTCTTTAAAGTAGAACACTACATACTGATATACACCTGAACACAGCAGGAGAGGACTCTTTAAAGTAGAGACACTACATACTGATCTACACCTGAACATCAGCAGGAGAGGACTCTTTAAAGTAGAGACACTACATACTGATATACACCGGACATCAGCAGGAGAGGACTCTCTAAAGTAGAGACACTACATACTGATATACACCTGAACATCAGCAGGAGAGGACTCTTTAAAGTAGCAAACACTACATACTGATATACACCTGAAACATCAGCAGGAGAGGGACTCTTTAAAGTAGAGACACTACATACTGATATACACCTGAACATCAGCAGGAGAGGACTCTTTAAAGTAGAGACACTACATACTGATATACACCTGAACATCACCAGGAGAGGACTCTTTAAAGTAGAAACACTACATACTGATATACACCTGAACACCAGCAGGAGAGGACTCTTAAAGTAGAGACACTACATACTGATATACACCTGAACACCAGCAGGAGAGGACTCTTTAAAGTAGAGACATACATACTGATATACACCTGAACATCAGCAGGAGAGGACTCTTTAAAGTAGAGACACTACATACTGATATACACCTGAACATCAGCAGGAGAGGACTCTTTAAAGTAGAGACACTACATACTGATATACACCTGAACATCAGCAGGAGAGGACTCTTTAAAGTAGAGACACTACATACTGATATACACCTGAACATCAGCAGGAGAGGACTCTTTAAAGTAGAGACACTACATACTGATATACACCTGATCATCAGCAGGAGAGGACTCTTTAAAGTAGAGACACTACATACTGATATACACCTGAACATCAGCAGGAGAGGACTCTTTAAAGTAGAAACACTACATACTGATAATACACCTGAACATCAGCAGGAGAGGACTCTTTAAAGTAGAAACACTACATACTGATATTACACCTGAACACCAGCAGGAGAGGACTCTTTAAAGTAGAGACTCTACATACTGATATACACCTGACACATCAGCAGAATAGGGCCCTGTAATAGAAATGAAAGACTGTCTTCACAGTATCAGATGGTCTCATTGTAACGTCCCTCTCCTCTCCAGGTGAGGTGGAGCTGGAGGAATATTACCCCCGCCTTCCTGGACATGGTGCGCAGCCTGCTGGATGGAAACCTGGACTCCACTCAGTATGAGGACACGCTGAGGTGAGATGTTCACCATCCACGCCTACATCGGATTCACCATCGACAAGGTCATCCACAACATCATCCGCCAGGTGAGTTAACTGAGCACAGATACTGACAACATTCACTGATACCAACGAAGGCTGCAAGGTACCACTGGTGCAGGATGGAGTCCTTAACTGGTGTTAGCATTATAGCCATTCCAATGGTTTTCTGAATTTTTTTTTGGTCCTGAAATAAGGTCTGTGGTTAACACAAGCTGAAGAAATTTAAAAATAGTTTTCATGACATAAATGTGTCATTAAATACTCCACTGGTGAATTCAAAAAACCGCGGTTGCTAACAAGTGTCTAAAATGAGACGACTAAACATCATCACGCCCAACATTAGCCGCCTTTAGCTTAGCGGTGGTGACGTGAAGTCATGCGACTGTGCTGTAGTTCCTTTATAGCCCAACATTAGCCACATTAAGCTTAACGGTGGTGACGTGAAGTCATGTGACCGTGCTGTAGTTCCTTTATAGCCCAGCATTAGCCACCTTTAGCTTAGCGGTGGTGAAGTCATGTGACCGTGCTGTAGTTCCTTTATAGCCCAACATTAGCCACCTTTAGCTTAGCGGTGGTGACGTGTTGTCATGTGACCGTGCTGTAGTTCCTTTATAGCCCAACATTAGCCTCCTTTAGCTTAGCGGTGGGGACGTGAAGTCATGTGACCGTGCTGTAGTTCCTTTATAGCCCAACATTAGCCTCCTTTAGCTTAGCGGTGGTGACGTGAAGTCATGTGACCGTGCTGTAGTTCCTTTATAGCCCAACATTAGCCTCCTTTAGCTTAGCGGTGGGGACGTGAAGTCATGTGACCGTGCTGTAGTTCCTTTATAGCCCAACATTAGCCTCCTTTAGCTTAGCGGTGGTGACGTGTTGTCATATGACCGTGCTGTAGTTCCTTTATAGCCCAACATTAGCCTCCTTTAGCTTAGCGGTGGTGACGTGAAGTCATGTGGGCTCTGTTCTTGGTCCCCTCCTCTTCTCCCTGTACACAAACTCGCTCGGATCAGTCATTAGCCCGCATGGTTTTTCTTACCACTGCTACGCTGATGACACCCAATTAATTCTGTCCTTTCCCCGCTCAGAGACCCAGGTCGTCGCACGCATCTCTGCTTGTCTAGCTGACATCTCTCAGTGGATGTCTGCTCATCACCTCAAACTCAACCTTGACAAGACTGAGCTGCTCTTCCTTCCGGGAAAAGATTGTCCCACTCTTGACCTAACAATCAACATCAGCACCTCAGTTGTTTCCCCGACTCAGACTGCAAGGAATCTGGGTGTGACCCTAGATAACAACCTGTCCTTCACTGCAAACATCGCTGCTACAACCCGTTGCTGCAGATACACGCTTTACAACATCAGGAAGATACGTCCCCAGCTGACTCAGAAAGCGACTCAGTTTCTGGTCCAGGCTCTCGTCATCTCACGGCCTAGACTACTGCAACTCCCTCCTGGCTGGTCTACCTGCATGTGCCATCCGACCTCTGCAGCTCATCCAGAATGCAGCGGCTCGTCTGGTCTTCAACCTTCCTAAATGTTCCCACACCACTCCGCTCCTCCGCTCCCTTCACTGGCTTCCGGTAACTGCTAGAATCCACTTCAAGACACTGGTACTTGCGTACCATGCTGCGAATGGATCTGGCCCTTCCTACATCCAGGACATGGTTAAACCGTACACCCCAGAACGTGCACTACGCTCTGCATCAGCCAAACGACTCGTTGCGCCCTCGCTGCGAAGGGGACCCAAGTTCCCATCAGCAAAAACACGTGGGTTTGCTGTCCTGGCTCCAAGATGGTGGAATGAGCTCCCCATTGACATCAGGACGGCAGATAGCTTACACATCTTCCGGCGCAAACTGAAAACTCATCTCTTTCGACTCCACTTCGAGCGATAGAATTATTAACAAAGCACTTATATACTAATAAAGGACTGGCTTATCTAAAGCCAGTTGAGTAGCACTTGAAATGTTTTTGCTCTATGAAACCTGATGTACTTATATGATTCTGTTTTCTTCAAGTTTGTATTTTGTTGGTCGAACGCACTTATTGTAAGTCGCTTTGGATAAAAGCGTCAGCTAAATGCAATGTAATGTAATGTTGATTTTAAAGAATTCAAAGCTATAAATAAACAGCAACAGGCTCTTTAACCAAGGCAGCCTAACATGTAAACTAGTTGTTCACACTAATCCTAATATTATCACTTAATATTAGCATTTTGTTGAACGAACGCACTTATTGTAAGTCGCTTTGGATAAAAGCATCAGCTAAATGCAATGCAATGTAATGTAATGTGATGTGACCGTGCTGTCGTTCCTTTATAGCCCAACATTAGCCTCCTTTAGCTTAGCGGTGGTGACGTGAAGTCATGTGACCGTGCTGTAGTTCCTTATAGCCCAACATTAGCCACCTTTAGCTTAGCGGTGGTGACGTCATGTGACCGTGCTGTAGTTCTTTTATAGCCCAACATTAGCCGCCTTTAGCTTAGCGGTGGTGACGTGAAGTCATGTGACCGTGCTGTAGTTCTTTTATAGCCCAACATTAGCCTCCTTTAGCTTAGCGGTGGTGACGTGAAGTCATGTGACCGTGCTGTAGTTCTTTTATAGCCCAACATTAGCCTCCTTTAGCTTAGCGGTGGTGACGTCATGTGACCGTGCTGTAGTTCAGAAATCATTAAGTGGTGTTAATATGTGAATAATTTCCTGACATAATCGAAAATCACATGGAGAAAATCCCATTGGACCACGGAGATGCTGCCTTCAGGGTCCAACCGAGAAATGCCTGCAACACTCTAAAGCAGTTCTATCAAATGTTGATGATTCATTCATCCCTAACCCCAGTGTCTCTCCGTCCTCAGCTGCAGCACCTGGTGAGCGACGAGGTGTGTCTACAGGTGGTGGATGTTTACCTGGCGGAGAGGAAAAGGGGGGCAGCGGGGGGGAACCTGTCCTCGCAGTGCGTTCGCTCAGCCTGGGAGACCAGCTACCAGTGGAAGGCTGAGAGAGTCATGGCGGAGGAGAACTGCTTCAAGGTGAGTCACGCTGCTGCTGGAGGAAGTCCCGTTCGCTTTGAGGCGTTTCTGGCGTTTCGAGGGGAAATGTACATTTGTTACAGAAAAGAGCCAAAGAGTGTTACCTCACTGCATGAGTGTAATCTAGCATATTTATCATCCACAAACAATTTGACCAAAGCTTTTTATTTTTAGATTTCAGAAGCTTATTCTCCTGGTTTTGTTCTGCTGTTGTAAGTTGATTTTTCTTTTGTGATTTAAATCTTTATTGTCACATTATACATGGCAATAACATGCTGGTGACAACAACATTTTAATATTGTAACAAAAGGCAATACAAAATAAAAGGTTAGGGATATGTCGTCATGTTATTATATTCTTGAAGATACATGTATCTATTAGCTATTGTTCCAGTCTCATGTCTTTCTGTTCAGTTGTTTTTCTTGCAATCTCAATTTATAAGTCAGTTTTTCCAACAAAAGTATTTCTTCCATATTGTTGTTGTTGTAAGTTAATTTAAATCTGTTTCTCTGTTCAGGTGATGTTTCTCCAGAACACGGGTCAGGTGACGATGACGGTCGAGCTGCTGGACACCGAGGAGGCTCAGGCCGACGACCCGTTAGACGTACAGGTAAACACACACACTGACACACACACACTGACACTGACACACACACTGACACACGCACTGAAACACACACACACACTGACACACACACTGACACACACACACTGACACACACACACACACACACTGACACACACACACTGACATACACACACTGACACACACACACACACACACACACTGACACACGCACTGAAACACACACACACACTGACACACACACTGACATACACACTGACACACACACACACTGACACACACACACTGACACACACACTGAAACACACACACCACACACACTGACACACACACTGACACACACACTGACACACACACACACTGACACACACACCGACACACACACTGACACACACACACACTGACACACACACTGACACACACACACTGACACACACTGAAACACACACACACACTGACACACACTGAAACACACACACACACACTGACACACACTGAAACACACACACACACTGACACACACTGAAACACACACACTAAAACACACACACACTAAAACACACACACACATACATACACACACACACTGACACATACACACACACACACAAACACACACACACACACTGAAACACACCCTGACACACACACACACACACACTGACACACAGACACACACACACACACACACACACACTGAAACACACACTGACACACACATACTCTCATCCACACACTGAAACACACTGAAACACACACTGAAACACACACTGACACACACACTGACACACACACTGACACACACACTGACACACACACTGAAACACACACACACACACACTGAAACACACACACACAGAAACACACACTGAAACACACACTGACACACACACTGAAACACACACTGAAACACACACTGAAACACACACACACTCTCACCCACACACACTCTGAAACACACACACTCTCACACACACAAACACACACACACACACTGACACACACACTGACACACACACACACTCTCACACACAGACACACACTGACACACACACACACACTGACACACACACTCACACTGACACACACACACACACTGACACACACACACACACTGACACACACATACGCACACACACACACACACACACACTGACACACACACACACTGACACACACACTGAAACACACACTGAAACACACACTGACACACACACACACTGACACACACACTGACACACACAAACACACACACACACACACACTGACACACACACACTCTCACACACACACTGACACACACACACACTGACACACACACACACTGACACACACAAACACACACACACACTGACACACACACACACTGAAACACACACTGACACACACACACACACTGAAACACACACTGACACACACACACACACTGAAACACACACTGACACACACACACACTGAAACACACACTTTCTAAATAAAGGGTCACATGTATTAATGTGAGTGTGTGTGTCCTCAGTGCCTGTCGAGCTACATGGAGCAGTTTGTAGGAACGGAGTCCAGTCTGTGCTCTCATGAGGGATACTTCTTCAAACCTGTGTTCCTGCCCAGGTACAACACTCGTCTCATGTTAACATGTGCATGATCAAATACTACAGCTCATGTCTTTAGGCGATAATACGCCACTGAGTTTCCTGTTATCTGCACAGAGGTTATTGAACGTTCAATGTCTGATGGTGGTGTTATCCAGTAGTAGTAGTTTAATTTATCCCAACATCAAGTTTTTAACAATCCAAAATATCTATAAAACCCAATTGTATGAAATAATAAGAGACAGTAAATAGATCCCTCACATTCATTACATAACAGTACACGTTGAAAGCAAATAATAAACTAATACAACTACTACTGTTAACTGTGGGAGGCTGTGGCTCAGTGGATGGTGCGCTGATCTTCGAATCAGAGGGTAGCAAGTTGGAGTCCCACTGCAGTCAGCATGTCGTTGTGTCCCTGAAGACTCTTCACCCCAAAGTGCTCCTGTGGGGATTGTCCACAGTATTGAGTATGTTAGTCGCTTTGGATACAAGCGTCTAACAAGTGACATGTCATGTACTGTTAACATTACCTGAGTTAGCAGAGATATGCTCCCCCTTGTGGTCACTGAGTGTATGTTCAAATGGAGGTATTGCAAATGTTAGATATTAAAAACACTGCATTTGATGATGAGTTAAACCAAAATCAGCCCTCATTAAGAACATGGAGTTAAATTAAAAACCTATTTTTGACAAAGGGCTGATGTGTGTGTGATTCACTGAAATACCACAGATCTTATAATTTAAATGTGTCGGTGTTAATCTAAAACACATGGAATTTGCACATTGTAAGAAGCATGTTAAAAAAATCTATTTCTTATACACTTGCATTGATTTGATTAAGGGACAGTTGAGCCATCATGAATCCTACGTTCAGTGTTCTCAACAAATATAAAAATGAATATTCAAAAAGTATTCTACAGTAAATAAACAGGTGTTTTCATGGGCTGCGTTCCAATAGTCCGTTTAGCTTAGGAACCTTCCTCACGGAGTGAAATGACCCGGAAGTCCCTCACTGGCAGCCATGATAAGTGCCGTTCCAATTCTCCAAATGAAAGGAAAGGAGGTTTCAAACTTCCTTTATAACCTCCTTTAGCTTAGGAACCACTGGACCTCCCTCACCGAAAGGAGAGGAGAAAATGCTGCCCCACAATGCATTGCAGCCGCAGCATTTGCCGTCACTCAACAGTCGGCCGTTCACGGAAACAACCGATTATGACGGAGAAATGATATCATGAAAGTTACGGTGCTTATTAAGCTTTTTAAAACGTATGTGGTAAGTTGCCAAAGTGCTTTGTTTTGAACGTTCATCAGTATTATAATCAAAAAGAGAAATATGAACGTTAGTTTTTACTGAAATGATCAAATAAAGTCAACCTCTCACAGTCTTTACTGAGCTGTGTGGAGTTTGTTCAACTTTTAAAAGATGTTTGAATGGTGATATACACAGTGATAGATGTTAAGGACTAACGTTTATAATAAATACATCTGTATTGATTTATCTTTCCATCAATCATACGTATTGGGATCATTTGTATTAACGTGGACCGGAGGGAGAGGGAGACGAGCAGAAGCTTCACTTTCCTTTTTTATTTCAATTCCAGCTTTGGTCCTGAAGAATCTGTTTCTCTGTTGTCCACGTTCATAAAGCATAAAGCAACAGCGTCAGAGCACAGAGTCTCTAGATGAGTTCACAGGAGTCCCTCGTTCTTATTGAACATCCATGTTGTAGTCCGCTGTATAGAGAACTGTAGTTTCCATAGTTTCCCCACAGCAGCAGACGCTCATTCAGGACGTCCGCTGGCGCATCAGAAACACGTCGGATTCTCTAAAGTACCGCAGTCTCTTCTCCTAAGTCCTTTTGAATTCTCCTATCCACTATCCCTTAACCCCGTGACGTTTCACTCAGAGGTCAAGGAATAGGAGATAGGAGGTGATTTTTGGACTATTCGACTGCTGCCCTGGTGTTTTTAATTGACCGGACTTCTTTCTGCGGATTGATACGACTGCATATAGTCCCTTTTATCCTCCTTAGCAACAGTCTGCTATCATTTGCAAATAATAACAGACCTCTGGAATCTCCGAACTGACCAATCAGAATTGAGTAATCAAGCCAGCTTTTATTTTTTGTAATTAAAATCTGTATTGTCACATCATACGTGGCAATAACATGCTGGTTACAACAGCATACAATCATGTAACAAAAGGCCAGACAAGGCAATGCAAAATAAAAATTAAATAAAAGAGTTATATCTTCATGTAGTAGATGTACTCTTGAAGATATATGTATCTATTAGCTATTGTTCCAGTCTAATGTCTTTGTTTTCAGTCTTGTATAGAGTCCATTTTTCCCACTTCCTGTTGAGTTGTGTTTCTTGCAATCTCAAATCAACCCAGCTTTTAACACATTTAATTTCTCTCTTCTCAGGAATCTGCGGCGTTTCCGGCGCTGGCAGGTGCGTCAGGTGGAGGCGATGCGCTGCCGGAGGGAATGGCACCGGCAGCTCGGAGTGGAGAACGCCGGCAGCCTGGACTGCCGCTTCAAACTCAACACTCACAAGATGGTGTTCGTCATGAACTCCGAGGACTACATGTACCGCAGGGGGGCGCTGGTCAAGGCCCGCAAGGTATGAGGACTTTAGTTTAATAACTACGAATGTGTACTTCATCTGCTTTTTAATCCCGTTTGTCCTGGTGGTCATCATTTGGTTATTTTTCAAAATCTTTTTATTTGTTTTTTTGCAGACATGGCACTTTCAGCACATTATACAAAGTACAGGACACTTTGTCTGTTAACCTCTTAAGCCCCACGGACCCGGTTCCGGGGCCGAAATCGCGTCATTTGCAGGAAACAACATCTAAGGAACCTTAATATTTAATAAACTATTAATATTTTACATCCATATAACGGGAAAAAAACTCATTTAACTGATCTTTTTCATTTTTTTCTCTAAAAAAAAACACACAATGTTAACAGTGAGCCTCTGAATTAGCCCCGAGCGAAAAATGCTAACCTATTACTGCACCGAAAATCACTCCTAGCTCCCTTATCACTTATCCTAGCTGCACATCCAACACATGATCGTAAAGACACAGAATCTAACGGTGCCCACCTCAACACTGAAAGATACAAACTCGCGACGTTATCAACAAAAACGTACATCAAAACAAGTGGCGCTAGGTAGCCCACAACGCTAACATGGCTTACCTTGGTCTTTGTCTGGTCAAAACTGGTCTTCAATGGCATTAAAACGATAACAACGATGCTATAGTTAATCCATAGGTTAATCCAATGTGGCTGTGTCCCCTTTGAAATGTTCTGATAATCTATCAGCAATAAAACTGCAATTCCGTTTTAAAATATCAGAGCAGGCCATTCCTACGCTCTGTAGCTTCATTGAATGCGAAAAGACGTAACCTTTTTTTTTAACATGAGTGTGTGCGGGACGATTCCCCTTCAATTCTATTGGCTCTAACGGTCAGGAAGAGATGTCACATGTCAAAATCCAGCAGGGCGGCCAGAGATATGGAAAATCCACCCAAATGGCCCCAGAAGAGGTTTTTTTGCTAAATCTGTCTAAAAAGGTCAAATATCACTTGTTTTGCATCAATCTTGATACAGGGTAATTATTATCTGTTGTACTTTGGATTCCTAACGCTTTTAGTCTACTAACCCATCATCCAAGGTTAGTTTCACTATAAGTACAAAATATCTTTTGGACGGACACTATAATTTACAGTTTTTTCTATGTTCAATCTGAATTTTCTTTAAAATAAAAAACATCTATATTGATTCTGACTTTTCTACATCCAACTCACAGGTTTATCATTACTTTGAGAAAAAAGATTATTAATTTAACCCTTTTAGAAGGGAAGATATGGTCATTTTGTTCTGGGAATGTCATTTTCGAGCCTGAAACAGGAAATAAAAATACCCATCCCCTATCCCCACCCCATTAGGTCATGGTCACAGAAAAAATTATAATAATACAAATAAATAAAATGATAACTCATCACAAAGTCACAGGTAACAGGAATACCAAAATTCACATTGAGTCGAATAATAAGGGATCCTTTTAGCCAGAATCTTAGCTTCTCAAATCATTTGTTTTTAATGACAATTATTTGAGAGCGTACCAACGTTAACATATCACTTTTTATTTGGGCAAAGGAAATCTTATTTGATTGACAAAAAAAAAGTGCATTTTCTGCTATTTTTATTTTAATAGTTGCTAATTATTTTCCTACAATTCGACTGATCACACAGCTGTTTGAACACTTCCTACCTGTTGGATCCTCTTCAACACTTTCTCCTTTTTCTCTTATTTTTGATTTTTCGGGGACGTTTTGTTTTGACTGGTTGTTTTTTTGGGAAGATTTTGACTGAAGAAAATGTTCCTTTAAAAAAAAAATGTAATACATTTTTGCAGTTAACTATCATCAAAGTTGCCAATTATTATCCTGTGATTTAACTTATCCTTACAGCTCTATTTGCACACTTTCTACCTCTTATCCCCTTCTCCCTTTCCTCTTATTTGGGATTTTTTTGGGGAGGTTTCTTTTCAGATTTTGGCAAAAAAAAAGTGGAAAATAAAATTAGATTTAAAAAAAAATACCTCCAATCAATAACCATAAGTCTTGTTCTATTGATCTCCACTGCAGCTCTTCAAAGGTTCAAAGGGCTTTGTTGTCATATCCAATGCAATGAAAAACATCCCAGGCTCCTCCAGGAATGAAACCTAAATATATATATATAAGACATAACACAAATAAAAAACAATAAAAATAGCGCAAGACTAACGAGCAGGAGAAGTTAAATACACGCCAGTAAAATAGAAAATAAAATACTGCTTATTGTAATAATAGATACATTTGTGAGATGCCGACAGATGACACTTTCTCCTCTTCCTCCACAGTCGCAGCACAGAGTGGCAGCCAATCAGCACGACCGCTTCGACAAGTGGCACCAGGGCTGGCTGGCCAATCACGTGACGGCGCCGGCGGATCGGGTCGTGCAGAACTGGCTTCTGGGAGAAGAGACGGACGACATGATCCCCTGCAAGACCACCTGCCTGCAGACCAAGCTGAAGGGCCAAGCTGTGAACAGATACCAGGTTCATTACAGCGGTAGCAAAGCCCCCGCCTCCCCGTAGACTCACACACACTCACTAACACACTTACACACACACACACACGTAAATGCATGGACGTACAGGACATTCACACACTAAACAGACAGTTCTCTCTAAGAAAATAACGGGACAAACACAGACAGTGAAGTAATCACGGAGAGTGGACTCGGCCCTGTTTACGGCACGAGTCGGCACAAAATGGCGACCTTCATAATCCTCCTCATCGTCCGGCTTCTCTGGCGGCACTCAAAGTTGACGGACACACAGACGAGAAGTTATGAAATCATGAAATCATTGAAATTTGTTTCAGAAAATGTGAATGTCTGTTTCTTTTTTCTCCTTTTGTTTTGTTTTATTTTTTTAAAGTCGTGTAGTTTTTAGCTTCTAAAGCCGGAGAGCCTTCTGTGTGTGGGTTGGTTGGTTAATGCGTGTTTATATGGAGAGATAATGGTAAACGTGTGTATGTGTGTGCTGCTCTCTTCCTCTGTCTGTTTGTATGCCCAGTACAGGCTCTACAACTCTAGTAATTGCATTATTACTGTACTGTATGTGCATATATATATATATAACAGGGATCCTGTATTTTTATATATGCATCTACACATCTTAAGATCACGTGGTTCTTTACAGTGTTTGCTGTCAGCCAACTCTTGATGTTTTGCATTCTTTTTGTTTTCCTTTTTTGTGTTGTAGCTAAACAAGTTATCACCAAGGCAACAAGGAGTCCTTAAAATGATTGGTTTAATATGGACGACGCAGTCAAATTATGTATCATGTTCATGATACTCAATGTTTACTTTGTATTGTCTTTTTTTTGCATACTGACATTGAAAATAAAAGCAAAATATCAGTGTTAAAATAGAATGTATAACATTTATCCTGTATCAGTTATCATGAAATAAACAACCTGGTTGTGACCTTCTTAGACGTCGACTGGCAGGACCTTTGTTTGTTGGCGTGAGAAAGATTTAATGTACAAATGCAAAACTTTTCACTTTTCAGGGGGTCCGCGGGGTCTTACAAAGTATTACAAGTTGATAAATCAATTTAGCGAAAATGAAGGCTATTAAAAAGTATTAAACGGCATTTTCCAAGGTATCACATTTTGTATCTTGTTTTCAATAAGTATATAAATGGTCCAAAGAGGTTGTGTTCTACAGTCTGCCTGAATGTAATCATGGCGTAGGTGTGTAGTGTGATTCTGTGTAGTTTATTGATGGCATCCCGTTGGGTTTGACGTCATCTGAACAGGACATCGCACGCTCACTGCTTGATAGCGCGAAGGTCCGTTTACGCCGGTTGTTAAACAACATCGTTATGGGGAAATGCAAGTCTGCGTCCAAATGGTTGGAAGATAAGGAGGAAGGACAATCAATACTGTATATAGTCAATGTGAGGTAAAGTGTGTCGCCAAGGTAACCGGTTAGAACTCCAAGTGGAGATGAGGTCTTAAAATGTGTGGAAAGGGTCCAAAAATACCGTAAATTCCAAAAATACTTAAGGGGGACCTATCATGGAAAATGCACTTTTGTATGTCTTTTATACATGAATATGTGACCCCGGCAGTGTTATAGTCAAGTCACCAATTCACGAGTCCAAGTCACTCTCGAGTCACCACTCTTCAAGTCCGAGTCACCAAGGGAGAGTCGTAGTCGAGTCCAAGTCTGAGTCACCCAAGGAGTGTCCGAGTCGAGTCCGAGTCATCATTACCTGTGTTCGAGTCCAAGTCCGAGTCACCAAGGATTGTCCGAGTCATCATTACCTGTGTTCGAGTCCAAGTCCGAGTCACCCAAGAAGAGTCCAAGTCCGAGTCACAGGTCTTCATGTATTAATCTTTGTGGATATATGTGTTGAAATGTAGCTGCTCCTCTACATTGCTTTTATCCTGTCACGCTATACTAATCTGTCGATTGAACTACTGTGACGTGACGCTACAATTCTTGTAATAGGTACTATACAAATATAAAGCTTATTACTAATATTATTATTATTATATATAAATAAACTATATTTAAAATGAGTTACCTTTTAGAGAAGTGATTATATTTGTATGCCAATATTTTCCTATGGTAAAGTTTTCGTTTTGCATTTTTATTTTGATAGTAATAAGATCGGGACTCTTATTTTGAAGGAACTTTTACCGGTCAAATCGGTTTACTAATAAAGATTTAGCCCCAGAAAGCACATGGCTACTTAGCATGCAAAATGACGTCATTCTGCATGTTAAGTAGCCATGTGCTTTCGTGTTATCGGCTGAATCTTTATTTATTGATTAGATCACGTTACTCTGATCCTTAGAGTAATGTGTTACGGAGCCTTCTCTTCAATATTGTTTCCACATAACGAGCATTTTGCGCTGCTCTTTTCCAATGTGGAAGCAGAATGTGTGAAAGCATACAGCACGATGCGGGGGGTGTCTCTTGACTGGAATAGCGGGCCCAGTATGTGAATTCACCTCGCAGGTGCACACGCCAGGATAGAGGACTCCAGAGAAAACTTCCGAGTCCGAGTCCAAGTCATCGTGCGCGAGAATTCACGAGTCCAAGTCCGAGTCGCGTCAATCAGTGTGTGAGTCCGAGTCGAGTCCCGAAAATCGGCACTCGAGTCCGAGTCCAGGACTCGAGTACTCCATCTCTGGTCCCAGGTGTGTCAGGGAACTCACCAAGTGTCAGAAAACACAACCCTCTCTCTTTTCCTCCATACCCAGATCTCTAAAAACGGGGCTGCAACGGAGCTGATACAGACGGGGTGCTCCGCCTATATGGGCAACTCTCCACCTATCAGGGGAATGGGGGGTTGGGCCACGGCCATTGCCGCTCGAAAGCGCTGGAGACGCTGTAGTACATATGCCAGGCCTGTAAGTGGCACTGTAGTCTGCCACAAAAGCAGTGAAGAAGACTTCTCACAGAATCAGCCCTTGCAAAAACAGGGCTGGAAAAGAGCAAATAGAGCGAAATGAGGCATGGCTAAAACGCATGATCTGTTTGGTATTTAGAAAAAAAAACTTCACAGACATGTTTTATATAGGTATGGCCCTACAATATATTATTCAAATATAGCATGATAGGTACACTTTAAAGTTCCAAAAATACCGCAAATGGTTGGAAGATAAGGAGGAAGGACAATCAATACTAGTCAATGTGAGGTAAAGTGTGTCGCCAATGTAACCGGTTAGAACTCGAAGTGGCGATGAGGTCTTAAAATGTATGGAAAGGGTCTTAAAAAATGTCTTAAAAGGTATTACATTTGACTTCAGGATTCCTGCATAGACCCTGTACAAACACCCGGGTTCAAATTATTATATTAACTGACCATATTTCGTTTTTGGATTGTTGAATGAACAAAACAATAGAAAACATTTTTTCCGTAATATTTTTCCCAATTTTCCAATATGTTTTCTATAATTTCCAAACTTTAGTGTCGTTGAAAAAGTCAGTGTAGTGCATCATAAATAAAAAACATTAACAGTATGCCAAAGAAAATTACATAACATACAATTACCTTTTGTATAAAAAGATATAACTTTTATGGCATACTAAACAATGATAAAACAAAAAAGTATATTTATATAATTTTTAATTGTATTTTTTTGATGTGATTGTTAAGGAATAATTTGCTTAGGTATTCAACCTTCGACCCAGTTCATAATTTTCTCCTCTCACTGTCTCCTTTCCCGTGGCATAAGTCGACGGCCTTGGGTATTGCTGCTATCTCTCTTAAGGGGGAGGAGCTTGGGTATTGCTGCTATCTCTCTTAAGGGGGAGGAGCTTGGGTATTGCTGCTATCTCTCTGAAGGGGGAGGAGCTTGGGTATTGCTACTATCTCTCTGAAGGGGGAGGAGCTTGGGTATTGCTGCTATCTCTCTGAAGGGGGAGGAGCTTGGGTATTGCTGCTATCTCTCTGAAGGGGGAGGAGCTTGGGTATTGCTGCTATCTCTCTGAAGGGGGAGGAGCTTGGGTATTGCTGCTATCTCTCTGAAGGGGGAGGAGCTTGGGTATTGCTGCTATCTCTCTGAAGGGGGAGGAGCTTGGGTATTGCTGCTATCTCTCTGAAGGGGGAGGAGCTTGGGTATTGCTGCTATCTCTCTGAAGGGGGAGGAGCTTGGGTATTGCTGCTATCTCTCTTAAGGGGGAGGAGCTTGGGTATTGCTGCTATCTCTCTGAAGGGGGAGGAGCTTGGGTATTGCTGCTATCTCTCTGAAGGGGGAGGAGCTTGGGTATTGCTGCTATCTCTTTGAAGGGGGAGGAGCTTGGGTATTGCTGCTATCTCTCTGAAGGGGGAGGAGCTTGGGTATTGCTGCTATCTCTTTGAAGGGGGAGGAGCTTGGGTATTGCTGCTATCTCTCTGAAGGAGGAGCAGCTTGGGCGCATTGTTGTTGCCAGTCTGTGACAGAGCACAAGCCGCCATGAGGTAGTTTACTGTTCAGGGACGAAGGTTCCCTGGCACACATTCTTTCCTATGGACGAGAGCTCTAGTTAGATTCAGGGTCCAGGGTCTCGCTGATGAAGAATGTTGATTATTACACTCTGAAATAATTAAAACCTCGAGCTGCAGAAAGAGTTCTTCAGAATTGGTTTGGCAACCGCTGTGTCAACTCGTGACACACCACCTGTCTCGTCAATTCTCCGGCCGAAGCTCCAAATAAACCGTCAGTGTTTGCCATCAAAGCTCCAGCTCTCCTCGTGTCTCTCTGAGTCCTGACTCTACATTGCTACAGAACTTTCCCCCACAGTGATTATTATTATATTATTATATATACTGTTTTATGTTTTAGAAAACTGAATATATTTAGTTTTTGGATTGTTTAATGAACAAAACAGACTTTTCTCCCAATTTTTCAAATATTTTCTCTATAATTTCCAAACTTTAGTGTCATTGAAAAAGTGGAAGTGTAATACTTAAAAAAATTGTAAAAAACATAAGCAGTATGCCAAAGAAAATAATATACAATTACCTTTTGTATACAAATATATAACTTTTATGAGATACTGAACGATAAAACAAAAAAAAGTATATATTTATATAATTTTTTATTGTGTTTTTTTTTAAATGGCAATTTCATTTGGACTTTGACAGTTTAAGAACATATAATACTTTGACATTTGTATATATTATTTTGTATGGCATACCATACTCAATGTTATGACATTTAATGATATGCTTTAATATGACTTAGTCATGACTTTTGTGTAAGAGAAGCAGAAAAAACGAGTCGAGAGACAGAGCGAGTTTTAAAAATAACCGTGGTTTATAAAACCCAGATATGACAGGATCACCAAAGTGTTTACAGAAATACAAATACCATCAGAACCATCGCAGGACGGAGTTTTACACGCAACATGTACAAACTGGAAAAACTGACTCTTTAAAATCACATTTAGCCACGATGTATTTATCTAATATCTGTCTTATCAAAGTACAGCCTACCAAACTACAGTACTATCATTACTGGATTAGAGAAACAACATCGAGAGAGGAAACATCGAGCACTTTAACATCATAAAGGGGGAACAACTGTACAAAATAACCCTGTTTTAGTTTAGTCACAGGGCTACACACACTTTGTTTTACAGAGAAGCACCTTTAGAAATGCTTCAGATAAAATCCAGGCAGGTTTTTTGGAGTTGACGGCATGATGTGGGTCAAAGTGCTTCTGCTTTTACAACACAGTATATTTTTTTCATGCACATTCACAGATGTACACACAGTATCACAGCTCCTCCTGGACGTAAAAGCTTTGAAAAAAGACAACGAGAAAAACAACCAATCACAGTCTCCACTTCTCCATGGATCTTTTTTTTTTTTTATACAAACACATTGTCAACAGATTTCCACATGAGTGCAGGATCAAAAACAGAAAAACCTCGTTCACCTTAAAAAATACTGCTTGTCTCGAAGTATGAAATCAACCATTGTCACGGTGGCCACAATGATCGCTAATATACATGTAATAAATTAAGAACTATGTACAATGGGGAACTAAAGCAGCATGCAGGCAAGACAACAGCCTTTGTACAAAACTATCTGCTGTGTGTGTGTGTGTGTGTGTGTGTGTGTGTGTGTGTGTGTGTGTGTGTGTGTGTGTGTGTGTGTGTGTGTGCAGTGTGTTATAATGACGCAGGAAGCTACCCTTCTACATTTTTTACATTTTTCTGGCTCTTTGCACACAGAAGCTGTTCAGTTTTCTACAAACAGAAGTATTGTCGTGCTGCAGCTGGGGGGGGGGGGGGTCAAACAGGAAGTCAAACAGCATTTAAATTAGCATCTTTAGCCAGATAGCAGGACAACACTTTGAAATGATAAGAAACAGCTCTTTACGTTTGAGCAGCTGGTTTAAAAATAACTTATAGGGCTTATAATGGATATCAGATGTACAGCACGTTTCTCCTGGTTCCTTATCTTTAATCTAACATTTAACAACACTTAAAATAGTTTAAAAGTGCTAACATGAGTGAACATTAGCGACAAACAACAAGATGTGGTGAAAACGTGTCACAGTTTATACATATTTTACTGTTAAAGAGAGATTGGATTGCAACCGACCGCATGTATTGAAAAAGACCCTCAAAGTTGCCAAATCCTCAAAATATTAACCACATTGTTTTGTTTCAAATATTGGCTGGGAATATTGTGCATGTGCATTTTGTTTAAAATCGAATAAAATTTCACATTTTTTATTAATTAATTAATTAAAGTTTTCCGCACTCTCGCGGGAATATCTCCGCAATGGAGCGAGTTTAAGTTTCACTTTCGATTGCATGATATAGCCCAGATAAACACCTTCATCACACATGTTGCCACTTGTTTGTACAATTTTCAGGCGATTTGTAAAAAACGATGTGTTTTTGGATATTTGTGGAGTTAGGTGGTCCTCGAGTGTTTTTTTATTGGTTAAGTGGTCCTTGGTATGAAAAAGTTTGAGAAACACTGTTAGAGGTACGTTTTGTTGGAGCCACCCATGTGCTACACAAATTAGCCGTAATTAGCATTAGCTTCCCAAATACGTTTTTTTAATACGTATAATTAAATAAAAAGTAGCCCATTCTGGCAACACACACTACAGTCTTAATATATAAATGGCTATTTTCTGTCATGTCACACTTTGAAGATTCATTTTGGGGAAATTAGGGATAAAATAGGCCAATTTCAATGTAATTGCTAACAAGGCTAGCTAACTTATGCTAGCTAGCCTTGATAGCTAATGCTAACAAAGCTAGCTTGCTTTGGTCGGCTATTTAAACCTTAATTAATCAGAATAATTCAATAAAAGCGCTCCAAATGTGTGAACCATTGGCATGTTAACAATTAAACTAAACATTTAAAGCATTAAATCACATAATATTTGACACATTTCTCCTCATATTACTGGGATTTCCAACGACACAGCTGCGAACATTAGTAAAAACAACAATCATAAACGAGCGTGTACAGTCTGCATGGACACATTCATAAAAATAAAGCTTTGGTAGTTAATGCAAAGTAAAAGCTAACGGGCACTTTAAGATGATTCACAGGTCGCTTCAATCTGAGGTCTAACTATGAGCTTATTAAAAACGTGGCGGAGAAAAACATTCAGAAGTTTAAAAAACACATCGACAATCATCGTATGGACGCTCTGCACAAGTCTCTCTAGTACAAACAACACAAGAACAACAGAGTAATAATGCATGTTAAAATGTATTAAATATATTACAAAGCAACTTCTCAGACATGTTTGAAGCAACCGTTTGTGTACAAGTTGTTGTTTGTTCGTGTATTAAATAAACCTTTCCTGCAGGGTGTGATTATACTCTGAGGTTAAAACTCAAGAAGAAACAAAGATGGAGTATAAAAGAATCAACACGCTGAAAGCAGTTGATTGGTTTTGATATGCTGTAGTTCTTCCTCGGGTGTTTAGAGGTTAATATCCAGTGTTTTGATTGGCTTGACTTCTCCCTGTTGATCCTAGTGTCGTTAGAAAAAAGGCGTGTAAACAGTCGTCTTTCAGCTTCAGGAAAAGAAAAGGAAAAACCTAAAGAAATACAAATATCTCAAAATTAACGTAATAACAATTCCTTTAAAAACCCAATCCCAGGCAGTGTGTGTTTCCCTTCTGTCCGTCTGTAGCTATTACACCGTGTTTGTGCTTCAGCAGGTTTATTTTCATGTGTTTCTACTTTAAAGTGTGTGTGTGTGTGTGTGTGTGTGTGTGTGTGTGTGTGTGTGTGTGTGTGTGTGTGTGTGTGTGTGTGTGTGTGTGTGTGTGTGTGTGTGTGTGTGTGTGTGTGTAGTGTTGACTCAGCTGAAGGCCTCATCATCCGTATCTTCGATTAGCACCTTTGTGTCCTTTTTTGATCTAGAAGAGGGAAAAGCATTATTATAATCTGGCATTTCAATGCATATTATTAGCATTTCTACAAATATGCGAAAGGGTACATTTGCTACCTTGAATGTGGATAAAGTTATATATATATTCAAAAGTGAAAGTAGAAGTACTGACTAAACTTCTTTACTCAAGTCAAAGTAAAGAGGCTTTGAAATGTACTTCAGTAAAAAGTACCCATAACTAGCAGCTGTTTTAAAGAGTACCTGACCTCCCTTTATATTAATAGAACAATAATGTCATTGTTAGCTAATGAATGTTTCCATGCTGAACAACGGCAACATGACAACGTTTCCATTGGTCCCTCTTCTTTAGAGAAGACCAGGAAATGATGGATACACGGATCGTGTTCAAATCAATAGGCACGCAATGACTCTAAAGAATAATGATCACGCATCAAACACACATTCAGACTAAAGGAACCAGCTGTTTGGAAAATGAGAGAAGAAGAAAGTACAGGTATTTGAGTTCAACATGTGAGAAGTAGAAAGTACAGGTATTTGAGTTCAACATGTAAGAAGTATAAAGTACAGGTATTTGGGTTCAACATGTAAGAAGTAGAAAGTACAGGTATTTGTGTTCAACATGTAAGAAGTAGAAAGTACAGGTATTTGTGTTCAACATGTAAGAAGTATAAAGTACAGGTATTTGGGTTCAACATGTAAGAAGTAGAAAGTACAGGTATTTGTGTTCAACATGTAAGAAGTAGAAAGTACAGGTATTTGGGTTCAACATGTAAGAAGTAGAAAGTACAGGTATTTGAGTTCAACATGTGAGAAGTAGAAAGTACAGGTATTTGAGTTCAACATGTAAGAAGTAGAAAGTACAGGTATTTGGGTTCAACATGTAAGAAGTAGAAAGTACAGGTATTTGTGTTCAACATGTAAGAAGTAGAAAGTACAGGTATTTGGGTTCAACATGTAAGAAGTAGAAAGTACAGGTATTTGTGTTCAACATGTTAGAAGTAGAAAGTACAGGTGTTTGTAAATCTATCAACATGTTGACAATAATCTAAATAAAGTGTGCTCTGTCTTACAGTGATGTGCCCAGCAGGGGGCGCCGCAGCGACAGGCTGTACGACCTCTTCCACGTCTTCTTCCCGGAGCGGTTGCGGACGCCCTCCTCAGAGTCCATCATCTGCTCCAGCAGCGTCTGGTCGTCTGCGTTCAGAGGAGCCACCGAGATGTCCCTGACGGCCCTGAACTCACCGCAGTTATTCAGGTGTTCGTTCTCCAGCCGGAAGAAGTTCCACACGAAGCGCCTGCAGGGAGACAGAGAGACGGTATGTTTTATAGATATATTATATATCAGGGCTGGGAGGGGCACTTTAAACATGTTTAATGTATCGTGATGACATAATGATGATACATGTATTCCATTACCTGGCAGTTATATCCTGCACAATAACCAATAATTCAATTGTATGATTTCCGAGGTTTGAGAGTCACTGTGTGTGTGTGAATGTGTGTGTGTGTGTGTGTGTGTGTGTGTGTGTGTGTGTGTGTGTGTGTGAGTGAGTGAGTGAGAGAGAGTCACTGTGTGTGAGTCACTGTGTGTGTGTGTGTGTGTGGTGTGTGTGTGTGTGTGTGTGTGTGTGTGTGTGTGTGTGTGTGTGTGTGTGTGTGTGTGTGTGTGTGTGTGTGTATGTGTGTGTGAGTGAGTGAGAGAGAGTCACTGTGTGTGAGTCACTGTGTGTGTGTGAGTCACTGTGTGTGTGTGTCAGAGTTCCCGTTAGAATATTTCTTCGCCGGTCAAAATGTCCGTTAAAGTTTAAATCTTCCGGACAAAATGAGAAAAGTGCCGGTCAAAGGTCTTCTTTCTTATTTATTGTGCTTTAAAACAAATTGATATGATTCGATATTAAACAAACTAATTATAGTAGATTTAGATTAACTACATTATTCAAAAGCGTACAGTAATTTACAATAACACGGGAATAATAAACGGAGCGCTCTCCCCCTCTCCTGACAGCCCGTCAGTATCATGCAGCTCGCGGATCAGTAATGAGTGACCTGACAGTAAAACTAAACATATCTATAACTAGTTACGGTAGTTTGAGAGGCCATTAAAATTGCTACGTGTGATATTCTAACCTGAAGTGTGTGTTGCTCCGCTCACCGCTGCATGTGATCATGCAGAGCTGCGTGTCGACTCGTCAGCAGCAGGGTTGCCAACCGTCCCGTATTAGCCGGGACGCCCCGTATTTGAGCCAAAAGGGGCGTGTCCCGTACGGGACTTTGTTTGTCCCGGACTCCCGTGTAAAGGGAAACATTACAAATATGTTTCTGTTTGCGCGCAATGCAGTGTGTCTGGCTGCGTGCCTGTGTGTTTGTGTGCTGTATCCGAAGGGCGCTAGGACCGCTCAGTTGACAGGGCAGGCACAATGCTCGCACGTGTGTGTGTGTGTGTGTGAGAGAGTCAGTCAGCTGATTGATGGGAAAATGCTGGGAAAATGGTTGGTTGAAGGATAACATTAAGTCTAATAATGATGTACCGTGCATGTTCACATCATGTATACTTTGCATTACTTAATACCATTTTTCAAATATTTTATTTTTTAACATTTTGGACAAAATAGCCAATTGTACATCGAGGTGCCCAGATGTCCCTATAGTGCCCACCTATCCGATTTGAACATGCTGATGTACAATGTGATGTAGTAGCCTAATGCAGGTGTAAGACCATTGTGTTATAGGTATGCATAGTTTTCTATGCATTTTGAGGGTTTTGGGGGGTTTGATCCCCAAAAACATTTTCGAACCCTAGGGGCTGGCTCCCCCAAAATAATTAAATAACATAACCCTAACCTAACCCTAACCATAAAACCGAAATAAAGTTTTTAAAAAAAGTAACTAAATCCGCCAGAAACCGGAAAATCTTCGCGCGCATGCGCGCGGGGGGGGACACGTGTCCCGTTTCTCCATTTCTGGAAGTTGGCAACCCTAGCAGCAGCTGATCTCTCTCTCCTGTCAGATTAGACTTCACTCGCGTTTATGTCCATATCGATCAGAGCTAGTTCTAGCTAATGATATGACTACCTGCTTATTAAAAGACACCTAAACAACAAGCGTCGCTATGCAACCGGGTGAGGCCGCAAAGTATAGCGCAGCATTATGCATTAGTTTACATGCCCACCGGAACCCCGAGGCATTACCAACAGATCAACGCACAATCAACCCATACAGGACATCTCTTTCTCCACATTAAGTAGACATTAGAATGAACTATTCTTGTCTGTCACATAAATGGCGCAACTGATGTGGTATTGCGCTAAACGGAAATTATTTTGAACGGACACTTTGACCGGAGAGATTTAGATTTGCCGGTCTTCATCATATTTGACCGGTCGTAGTCCGGTAATTACCGGCTAACGGGAACTCTGGGTGTGTGTGTGTGTGTGTGTGTATGTGTGTGTGTGTGTGTGTGTGTGTGTGTGTGTGTGTGTGTGTGTGTGTGAGTGAGAGAGAGTCACTGTGTGTGTGAGAGTCACAGTGTGTGTGTGTGTGTGTGTGTGTGTGTGAGTGAGAGAGAGTCACTGTGTTTGTGAGAGTCACTGTGTGTGTGTGTGTGTGTGTGTGTGTGTGTGTGTGTGTGTGAGTGAGAGAGAGTCACTGTGTGTGTGAGAGTCACAGTGTGTGTGTGTGTGTGTGTGTGTGTGTGTGTGTGTGTGTGTGTGTGTGTGTGTGTGTGTGTGAGAGAGAGTCACTGTGTGTGAGAGTCACTGTGTGTGTGTGTGTGTGTGTTTGTTTGTAAGTCACTGTGTGTAAGTCACTCATGGTGTGTGTGTGTGTTTGTGTGTGTGTGTGTGTGTGTGTGTGTGTGTGTGTGAGTCACTGTGTGTGTGAGAGAGTTAACTTAGCTTACTGCAGCATTTCTAGTGTTTCAGGATTTGTTGTCATTAACACGTCTCATTAATGTTTGGAGTGAAGCTGAATGGTGTCGTTGTCCAGTGTGATGACATAAAAGAGTGTCTTCAGGTGTGTGTGTCTTCTAGGTGTGTGTGTCTTCAGATATGTGTTTTCAGGTGTGTGTGTCTTCAGGTGTGTGTTTTCAGGTGTGTGTGTCTTCAGGTGTGTGTGTCTTCAGGTGTGTGTCTTCAGGTGTGTGTCTTCAGGTGTGTGTGTCTTCAGATATGTGTTTTCAGGTGTGTGTGTCTTCAGGTGTGTGTTTTCAGGTGTGTGTGTCTTCAGGTGTGTGTGTCTTCAGGTGTGTGTCTTCAGGTGTGTGTCTTCAGGTGTGTGTTTTCAGGTGTGTGTGTCTTCAGGTGTGTGTGTGTCTTCAGGTGTGTGTCTTCAGGTGTGTGTCTTCAGGTGTGTGTCTTCAGATGTGTGTCTTAAGGTGTGTGTGTCTTCAGGTGTGTGTCTTCAGGTGTGTGTGTCTTCAGGTGTGTGTGTCTTCAGGTGTGTGTGTCTTCAGGTGTGTGTCTTCAGGTGTGTGTGTCTTCAGGTGTGTGTCTTCAGGTGTGTGTGTGTCTTCAGGTGTGTGTGTCTTCAGGTGTGTCTTCAGGTGTGTGTGTCTTCAGGTGTGTGTTTTCAGATGTGTGTGTCTTCAGGTGTGTGTGTCTTCAGGTGTGTGTCTTCAGGTGTGTGTCTTCAGGTGTGTGTCTTCAGGTGTGTGTGTCTTCATGTGTGTGTGTCTTCAGGTGTGTGTGTCTTCAGGTTTGTGTGTCTTCAGGTGAGTGTTTTCAGGTGTGTGTGTGTCTTCAGGTGTATGTGTCTTCAGGTGTGTGTCTTCAGGTGTGTGTCTTCAGGTGTGTGTCTTCAGGTTTGTGTGTCTTCAGGTTTGTGTGTCTTCAGGTGTGTGTCTTCAGGTGTGTGTGTCTTCAGGTGTGTGTGTGTCTTCAGGTGTGTGTGTGTCTTCAGGTGTGTGTGTCTTCAGGTGTGTGTGTCTTCAGGTGTGTGTGTCTTCAGGTGTGTGTGTCTTCAGGTGTGTCTTCAGGTGTGTGTGTCTTCAGGTGTGTGTTTTCAGATGTGTGTGTCTTCAGGTGTGTGTGTCTTCATGTGTGTGTCTTCAGGTGTGTGTCTTCAGGTGTGTGTCTTCAGGTGTGTGTCTTCAGGTGTGTGTCTTCAGGTGTGTGTCTTCAGGTTTGTGTCTTCAGGTGTGTGTGTCTTCAGGTGTGAGTGTCTTCAGGTGTGTGTCTTCAGGTGTGTGTCTTCAGGTGTGTGTCTTCAGGTGTGTGTGTCTTCAGGTGTGTGTCTTCAGGTGTGTGTCTTCAGGTGTGTGTCTTCAGGTTTGTGTGTCTTCAGGTGAGTGTTTTCAGGTGTGTGTGTCTTCAGGTGTGAGTGTCTTCAGGTGTGTGTCTTCAGGTGTGTGTCTTCAGGTGTGTGTCTTCAGGTTTGTGTGTCTTCAGGTGTATGTCTTCAGGTGTATGTCTTCAGGTGTGTGTGTCTTCAGGTGTGTGTCTTCAGGTGTGTGTGTCTTCAGGTTTGTGTGTCTTCAGGTGAGTGTTTTCAGGTGTGTGTCTTCAGGTGTGAGTGTCTTCAGGTATGTGTCTTCAGGTGTGTGTCTTCAGGTGTGTGTCTTCAGGTGTGTGTCTTCAGGTTTGTGTGTCTTCAGGTGTGTGTCTTCAGGTGTGTGTGTCTTCAGGTTTGTGTGTCTTCAGGTGAGTGTTTTCAGGTGTGTGTGTCTTCAGGTGTGTGTAAACAGGTGTGTGTAAACAGGTGTGTGTAAACAGGAAGTAGTGTGACCCCACCTGAAGACCTCCATGGGGGCGAGCACGGTGGAAACGATGTCTCCCACAGAGTGGATCTTGGTGGTCGTGGAGAGGGAGATCTGGATCGTCCAGGCGAAACGCAGAATCACATCTTCGATTATCGCACAGTAGTAGTACGCCTGGAGACACAGGGGAGGGAGTATTATAGTATGTAGAAAAGTTTAAATACATGTTAAAGGTCTCCTATTATACTTTTCTTAGGCATATATTATAGGTTTCAGATATATATAAAACATGTCTCTGAAGTGCTTTGCTCAAAATACCAAACAGATAATTCTAGCCTCAAACCCCTCTATTTCAGCCCTGTTACTAAAGTGCTGATTCTGGGTCTGTAGCTTTAAATGTAACCAGAGCTGCTGCTGGCCACGCCCCTTTAGAGCGTCCACATGCAAGCAGTGAGCTCTGTGAAGAGAAGGCTGTCTACCAGCAGAAACTCAGTTAAATGCTGCCGTGATGAAACTCCATCATGTTCCAAACCACAGCAAGGATTATCTCTGAAACAGTACGGAGCTCAAACTCTTTCTCTCTCTCAGGTTTACCACAAGGTGACTTCCTTTTTACTTCCTGCTTCTTCACACACACTCTCTCCAGTACAGGTTAGCTCTGAGCGTTAGCATGCTAATGTAAACACAGACCATATTACTTCTAGCACACGTCTCATTGTTTCTGACAGCAACGTTTCTGATTGGCCCGTGGGTGTAAAGCCCGCCCACATTTTAGTAATGTCGTCATGACGCAGCAAATCTGGATCAGCTCCGATGTTCCCCCGTTTTTAGAGATGTGGGTACGGAGGAAAAGAGAGAGGGTTGTGTTTTCGGACACTTTGTGAGTCTCCTGACACCGGGGACACATAGTGATGTAGAGGAGACATCAGAAATTAAATAAATCATGTTTCAGTACGTTGAAACTGTCCTCTCTGTACCTTGTGAGGGTAAACGATCTCCTCCCTCAGGAAGGTGTTCTCTCCGGCCCCGCGGTCGAACAGACCCCAGTCCATCCGCAGATCCCAGATCAGAGTGTAGAGCGAGCTGATGCTGGAGAACACGATCAGCAGGTAGAAGAACATGTCAGCGTCCGTGTGGCCCTGCTCTGAAACACACAGGAAACACACGATACAGATTACACCCTCATTAAATATAATCCACGGTTTTCGTTTTTTTATAGATTCTACATCAAGAGGTTTTCTTAATCTGTCTTTGGCTCTTTTCTGCTGTCACAACGTAAATGTCCCCTCTGGACTAATAAAGGGATTCTGATTCTGATCATTACTGCAGAAACACTTTGACCACTAGAGGGAGCCCTGCTGCCATCAATACACTGCTATGATTACATTACATTTTAATAGTATGTCAGAACATATTTTAAAAAGCTAATGGTAAAGTAAGTTAACATTTTTTTGTCAAAGTGATAGTATGGCCATTTTTTTTAAAAGTCATAGTATAGTATTTTAGAAATGTCAAAGTATAATAATGTCATTTTTCTAATTTCTCTTATAACTTGAACTTGTAAGCCTTGACATCACTAAGGCGTGCATGTGTAGCATCAAAGGAAACTATTTCGATATACAAACTCTATAATGTTAGACATGTTATGTTGCAACACCACCTTTAACACACATCAATCATGAAATCAGCACCGGTTTGCCCAGAATGCAGAATTGCAAGATTCACACCCCTTATTAGCACTGCATGTGTGTGTCTGCATGTGTGTGTCTGCATGTGTGTGTGTCTGATTGTGTGTGTCTGCATGTGTGTGTGTGTCTGATTGTGTGTGTGTATGTGTCTGCATGTGTCTATCTGAGTGTCTACATGTGTGTGTCTGTTTGTGTGTGTCTGCATATGTGTGTCTACATGTGTGTGTCTGTTTGTGTGTCTGCATGTGTGTGTGTGTCTGATTGTGTGTGTGTGTGTATGTGTCTGCATGTGTGTGTCTGCATGTGTGTGTGTGTCTGCATATGTGTGTCTATCTGAATGTCTACATGTGTGTCTGTTTGTGTGTGTCTGCGTGTGTGTCTGTCTGTGTGTCACTGTTTGTGTGTGTGTGACGTATGTGTGTCTATCTGTGTGTGTGATGGGATGTGTGTGTCTTGAAGTGTGTGTTTGCAAGTGTGTGTCTGTCTGTGGGTGTGATTTGCATTGAGATATAACTCAGCACCATGAGGCCTTACAGACTCTCATACACATAGTGACTCTCTCTCTCTCTCTCACACACACACACACACACACACACACACACACACACACACACACACACACACACACACACACACACACACACACACACACACACACACACACACACACACACACACACACACACTCCTCCAGCAGCCAGACAGTCTCCAGTAGCAGCGTTAACATTTCTAACGTAGAGTTACTGCCTGCTTTATCCTCCTCTGAGCGATGGAGGGTCTCCGGCCGTAGATTAAACTCCGTCCTGAACAAAGACTCTTCTCACCGGAGAATAATCAACGATTCCCTTCAGCTCGGAGAGGGGGGGGGGGGGGGGGGGGGGGGGAGTAGTTCAGTATTTAACCCTTCAGTGTGTGTGAGGCTGATGTGTCGGTTACCCACCAGACCATTAAAGGTTAAACACCGGGAGAGGGGCATTGATTGGACGCTCAGTGAGGGTTAACTGTGGTCACTTAGTCCTGTCACACACACACACACACACACACACACACACACACACACACACACACACACACACACACACACACACACACACACACACACACACACACACACACACACGCACACAAAAATGCAACGTTGTGTTCAGCTGGTGTTAATATGTAAATATATGAAGAGCAGCAGGAGTGTGTTTGGCTCAGCAGGTGAATTAGAGTTCAAGCTGAGAGCCGTGTGTGTGTGTGTGTGTGTGTGTGTGTGTGTGTGTGTGTGTGTGTGTGTGTGTGTGGTGTGAGGGGTCAGAACATGAGATGAAGTTATGAAGCTGTCAGCTCATCTCTATTCCAGCCGAGTCCAGCAGACGTGTGTTCAGACCTGCACCGGTAATTACTCCTCCTCTTCCTCCTCTTCATCCTTCTCCTCACGTCTTATTTCCTCTCCTCTGTCCTCTTCCCTTTACCTCTTCCTCTCTCCTCTCATCCCCTTCTTCTCCTTTCCCCTCTTCTTCCTCTTGTCTCCTCCCTGTCTTTCTTCTGTCTTTCTGTCCAGTTCCTCCATCTCTCCCAGCCTCTCCTCTTCACGTGTCTGTCCTCTCGTCTCTTTCCTCCTCTTCCTCTCCTCTGTCCTCTCCTCTGTCCTCTTCTTCCTCACCTCTTTGGTTTCCTCCATTCATTTCCCTCTTCATCACCGCTGTCTTCCTCCCTCAGCTAGGTTCTGATGTAAACACTGAGGGATGTCTCTGTGCAGCTCAAACCCTCTATGTCCCCTGCAGACAGCTGTCTATCAGAGGCTTGCTCTCCGCACAGTTCTACATCCTGTTCTCCTTCCTCTGCCTGTCCATGACATAAATCCTGTGGGGTTGAATCAGCATTAAGGCTGTAACTCTGCATCTGAAACAAGCACTAAGTCTGAAGCCAGTGAACATAGAGCTGAGTCGGAATCGATCCTTCGATGTCAGGCCTTTCAATTCATCCCAACTCAAAACCTGGCTCGTGAGGAATCAGCTAACACTGACTCAATCTCCTGCTCCTTACAACCCACCGTCTGTGTTTTATAGGGCTGTACCCGAATATCCGAATATTCGTTCGTTGGAGTACTATTCGGGTTTCAATTTCGTTATTTTTTTCTCGAATGTATTGACTCTCCAATATCAACGTAAGAGCTTGTGCCTCTTCGGGGGTGCTAACACGTAACCATAAACGTTATCGTTGACTTTCTCCGTCTTTATATGTAGATATGACTTTTTCTCCATTAATCTCCGTCACGTTGTTTCCATAGCAACAACAACTTCCTGTCAACAGCGCTAACTCTCCTTCAAAATAAAAGCATGTCCATACAAAATAGGAAGCCAAGCCAAATTACACTTAAGACATATACAACTGCAACGAAAGTAACAAACACAATGCGATATCCTTTTCAATTTCAAAGAACACAAATTGGGTTACATCAACAAATAACTATAAAACAACAATACTGTATAATAACAAAAAGAATGCCGTGAATAAACCGAAATACACGTGTTGAAGCGGTTCGCTGCTGATTACTACCGAATATCCGGAGCCCGAAAACTGGTATTCTGGACAGCCCTAGTGTTTTAATGTTCATTTTTGTTTTGTTTTATTGTTCTGTTTTTGTATTAACATTTCCAGTAATGTATTTACATGTTTTTATTTGATTGTATTTACTTAATGTGTCTTTAAGGTGACTCACAACATCTGTCCAGGGACTACAGGTGAAAAATAGCATTTACAGAAATGTTGATTAACGTGAACTGCCCCTGTTAAAATAAATGAATAAACAAAGCCTCAGCAACAGGGTTTCTGATGTTCAACTGAACCAGGAAGTATCCTCCTCCGGTTACAGACAGGCCTCTGCTGGAGAACAGTTTAATAACTCCAAAAACAAGTTTATTCCTACAAAAAAGCATTATCATTTTACAGATTTAGATTTACTAACGGGAACACCCCGACTCCTTCCTCTGCATGTGCCTCCGACCTCTGCAGCTCATCCAGGATGCAGCGGCTCGTCTGGTCTTCAACCTTCCTAAATGTTCCCACACCACTCCGCTCCTCCGCTCCCTTCACTGGCTTCCGGTAACTGCTAGAATCCACTTCAAGACACTGGTACTTGCTTACCATGCTGCGAATGGATCTGGCCCTTCGTACATCCAGGACATGGTTAAACCGTACACCCCAGCGCGTGCACTACGCTCTGCATCAGCCAAACAGCTCGCTGCACCCTCGCTGCGAGGGGGACCCAAGTTCCCATCAGCAAAAACACGTGGGTTTGCTATCCTGGCTCCAAGATGGTGGAATGAGCTCCCCATTGACATCAGGACAGCAGAAAGCTTACTCACCTTCCGGCGCAGACTGAAAACTCATCTCTTTCGACTCCACTTTGAGCGATAGATTTATTAACAAAGCACTTATATACTAATAAAGGACTGGCTTACCTAAAGCCAGTTGAGTAGCACTTGAAATGTTCTTGCTCTATGAAGCCTGATGTACTTTATGATTCTGTTTTCTTCAAGGTTGTGTCTTCCTGGTCGAATGTACTTATTGTAAGTCGTTTTGGATAAAAGTGTCAGCTAAATGTAATGTAATGTAAAGAGACACACAGGATCAGTTTCTATGCTTGAAGTATTCCTGGTTTCCTGGAGTAGTGTGTGTTCAGTTCCTGGCAGAAGTGATGCAGTGAGGTGTCACACACACACACACACACACACACACACACACACACACACACACACACACACACACACACACACACACACACACACACACACCATGAAGGTTGTGAGTGGGTTATTAATGAAGGTGACACATCCAGACAGAGTGGGAGTGCTGCCAGAGACACACACACACACACACACACACACACACACACACACACACCCACCCATACCATGTATACATCACTTCAGGGGACTATACATTGACTTACATGCATTTCCTGGAGACTTATCCTAACCTTAACCATAACCAACACATGCCTAACCCTAACCCTAAAATTAATGATTCCCCTCATGGGGACCTCCCTTATGTCCCCACACGTGACTGTGTAAACAGATGTAGGTCCCCACAAGGATATTAATGCTAGGTCACACACACACACACACACACACACACACACACACACACACACACACACACACACACACACACACACACACACACACACACACACACACACACACACACACCTCTAACAGCTGTTTGACACGACCCTGCAGAGGATGCTGGGAAGGAAGCTGAGCATCATCTGTCCTGAAGAAGTTTACACTGCAGACGACAGTGAACCAAACCTGGTTTTATCGCCCCCTGCAGACACAGTGACTTTAGCCTCTGCAGACCATTTACATGCACTAAAACCTACAGTACTCACTACAGGGAGACGGAAAACCCCCAAATCATAACAGGTCCTCTTTTAAAAAAGACAGTAGTCCCAAGTAGTATTTTTGTTGCAGTGTGAACAGCGTGAAGTTCAATACAAAAAACACGGCAAAATGTCTTAATGTCGTTGTTTGTATCTGCATGGAGGTAAGCCCCGCCTCCTCTCCAGCGCATATAAGTAAACACCAATGATGCCACACTAAAACTAGAGCGAGTAACTCATCAAATCTTCACTTCCTGTCCGCTGTGATGCCTCTTAAGACTACAGAGGATAATGTCAGACTTCTATTGCATTGGAGGCCGTCAAATCATCACTTACTCATTTGGATTGAAGATTTGTCGAACGCTGGAAAGATTCACCAGATCAGATCTGCACATTTCTGTAGCAGAAACATCAAATGAGTGCACAGTGGGATATTTCCTCTCCTCTGCTCTTCAGCTAACCAGCGACGGCTCCATTATGGTGCCGGATGAAAGACAGCTTCTTACAGAATAAGACATGAAGAGAGGCCATTAGAGTGCTGGCCGGAGGAGGAAGGAGGAAATGGTTTAATGGACGCCTCTCCTACCTTCAGAAACCTCTGTCTGTCTGGGTCTCTTTCCTGCTTCATTTAATGCCAGACCACTGGCGGTCAGAAGAGGAAACATTGATTTAAACGTCTATCGGAAAGGAATAAAGTCAAGCTGGGAAATAACATTTAGCGGTTTGAAAGGTTGAAGATGAATATCGGGCATTTTGCTGCAAAATAAATATACAATCTGGCGAGTGAGGAGAAGAGCTTTCAAATGGATAAATATCTGAATCACTGCCGCTGTCTTTGAACATGAATCCCTTTGTGATATGGGAAATGAATCAGAATAATTACAGGCTAATTGAGAAGCCGTCACAGAGAGAGAGAGAGAGAGAGAGAGAGAGAGAGAGAGAGAGAGAGAGACTGGAATGGTAACCTCTCTGTGTTTTTGTACTTCTTAAATGGGAGAATGTCTCTTTCTTCCTCTCTTCCGTCTCCCCTCCGTCTGCTTCACATATTGAGTTGTGAGAGCAGAGCCTTGTTTATCCGAGTCGCTGTTTGACAAACCTTTCCCCCCCGTTTCCATTCAAAAGCTGCAGGCTGACAGGAAACACCAAGGCCAACTTTCAGCGTTTGCACTGAAGGTCACCTCTGCTTTCTGAGCACACACGGCTCAATTCAAAGCTCAATTCCAAACAGCCACACACACACACACACACACACACAGACACACACACACACACACACACACACACACACACACACACACACACACACACACACACACACACACACACACACACACACACACACATGTCTTTTTTGATGTCTTAAGTATTGTTTGTTGCAATGTTTTGGGGGCCTGGTACTTAAAATGTGCACTGCTAATTCTATGCTGTAGCTGTTGTACGTAAGAGAATAATATTAACTAGAGAATTCAATTCCTGAAGAAATTGCTAGTGGGAATGCTTTATGCTGAAAAGCTGACGCTAAACTGCTATGCTGAAATGTAATGTGTAAGAAGAAAGTGAAGAATCTAGATTGAAATGAAACATGAACACTGGGGGCTTGAATGTGTGATGAGAGAAGAAAAGAAAGTGAAAAGGCTTGGAAAAGCAGCAGAATATTTGAACTGCAAACTTCTGAACTAACTTGATGGCGAATGATCTGTCACCATGGCAACGGCATTTGATGACACCTCATAATACGCTTAGATGCGTTGATGGCTGCATCGTTACCAAACCTGTGAAGTCTTGGGCTGTTTGGAGTATTTTCACTGAAGTTATGAGAAAGCCGTGTTTCAAGGCGAGCATTTTGTTACCATGGTAACGGCATTTGAAGAAATCTCAAAACTGTCCCGTAGATGTCTTCAAGGCTGGAGCACTTTTTGAACATATTCATAGGAGTTATAGCGACATCATGTTTTATGGCGAGGGATGCGTTTCCATGGAAACGGCATATGGTGAGATCTCAGATTTGGCGTAGAGCTGTTGAGGCATGGACCGGTGATATACAAGTGAAGATTGGGGGACGATTGGACCGTGTCCATTGGACTTACAGCCTCATCGTGTTTCATGGTGAGTGGTCTGTCGCCATGGCAACGGCATTTCATGACACCCCATACTACGCTTAGATGCATTGATGGCTGCATCGTTATCAAACCTGTGAAGTTCTGGGCTGTTTGGAGTATTTTCACTGAAGCTATGAGAAAACCGTGTTTCAAGGCGAGCATTGTGTTGCCATGGCAACGGCATTTGGAGAAATCTCAAGACTGTCCCGAATCGTCTTCACAGCTGGACTGTTAGCACACTGCTACCTGGAGGCTGCTGCTCTGAGCACGTCAGCATCGTGTTCCATTACACAGGTGTTTATAGTTGAACTAACGAGCTCTGTAGAGATCACAGGTTTCCATTGTTCTGAATGAGAGATGAACCTCTTACATGTGAACGTTTTGTGGGAAGAACCGTAACAGATATCTGTGAAATTTCAAAACGTGAAGCATGTCAAGGAAGTTGAGTATCTGAAGTGTAATTGTTGTGTACTTTTGGGTTAATAATGTGGCCTTTTTGGCAGTTTAACTAAAGGTGTGCAGCTGCTACCGTGAGGCAATATCTGCCTGAAATTACAATGGGCTTCAATGGAGGAATGTTGAACGTTTTTGTCACTTCATGCCCTCAAGAGGCATTTTGTTGAATTATTTTTGCTTAATTATTTGTCATTTTTCAAGCTATGAGATGTTTTCCTACGTTTATCATGAAAAATTATGTCCCAGGAATGTAGGGTTTGGGAATTATGGCAGTTTTAAAAAAAAATATATGAAGGCACATTTCAAGATTTCTTACAGCCCGTCTACACTACAGGCATCGAAAAAGCTTGAAGCTGGGCGTGTCTGGAAGCTTGGGGAGTTTTTGCGACCAACAACGAATGACATGAATCTCCCGCCCCCGACATACAAAGCAATAGCAATGTTAACACGAAGTAAACTGGATATAAAATCCCCAAACAGGCGAAAACCTACCAGTTTCACCCACTGTCTCTGCCACCTCCCTCCATGCCTGGTTCCTCCGGTTTGTATCCCGGTAGATAGTCTGGTCGGAAAGAACCGGGTGATTTGCTACCGTAATTTCTCGTTTGGAATATGAGGAAATGAACTGCGGTCTGGCTCTCCCTGCTTGCACGCGGTTTGATTGGCTAGCGCTTGTACTGGCGGGAATTGCAAAAACGGGATTTGATTGGCTGACGCCAGCTTCGAGCAAGCATCGAGCCTCAAAAGTTGAACATTGTTCAACTTTTGACGCCGATAGATGCTCGCGATGCTTGCAACGCCTTGCCATGCTACCCACAATGCAGTTCGGCGAAGTTTGAAAATATCCTACGTCTACCCATTGAAATGAATGGGAGAAGCGTTGAAAGCATTTTTTGACGCCTGTAGTGTAGACGGGCCGTTACCCTCTAGCTGTGACATCACGCACTCTAGTTCATGTTCAAATGTGAAGAAACACTCTTAAACAAGGTCTGAACAAATGTTAATATCTCTAAAAGTAAGAATCAGATTTAAAAGTTGTTTTACACGAATAATGTCAGAAAGATTTGTAACATTTGAAAGTTGGAATGAGGTTTCTGAGTGAAAGTATGAATGAACAGTTAGCAGTTGAAGTCGCATGAAGATTTGTTGAAGTTGAAGATTTTCTCCATTGACTTCAATGTTAAAAATGTGATGTATTATGGGATGTATCTCTGGAATTATGAAAGTTATGAATGACAAAAGTAATAGCCATCGATTCCCGACCGAGCTGAACGTTTTGATGTTTGAACGGAGTTTCTGCGATGTTCAATGCGGGAGGAGAAGAGGGCCAAAATACCGGCGGAATAATAAAATGTTTGTCCGTAGAATAACAGTTAGTGGGAATGCTGTTAACAGCATTCCCACTAACTTAACATAAATAATCATAATTATTAGAAAATAAATAACAATAACATATAATAATAATTTACCTAGGAGGGTTCATGAAACACAGATAAATTGTGTTTTTTTAAATATATGTATTTTTACTTATTGAATATTCTACATTACATTTTTCAACATCAATACAATTCAATAGCAAAGAAAACAGATAGAAACAAAAACAAAAACACACACACACACACACACACACACACACACACACACACACACACACACACACACACACACACACACACACACACACACACACACACTGTTTTGAAATGTGGGTGCTTCCTTATTCTTCCCATTTTGCGATATCAACATCTTATTAACTTTATAAATAACATGAATACATTATATATTTTGAGTTCCTTGTGTCCTACCTCTGTGCGTGGCGTACAGCGCGGCGAAGGTGACGACGAAGAAGGTGGTGGAATATTTCCCAGCGTTCACCAGGTGGGGGAACGCCCTCTTTGTGTCTCGGTAGCGCCTCAAACACTGGACGAAGCGGAACCAGGCGGGCAGGCACTGGATGACGGCGCGCAGCCCGTACGAGTAGCTGTGGCACACATGACCTCCAGAGTCTGAGAGGGGTAGAGAGGTTAGGGTGTTATGGTAGAGGATTTAGAAATATACAAAACAGAAACAATTATTAACAGTAGAGAAAGAGGCAGCAAACACACTCGGCCTATTCCAAGCCTCCACTTAAACATGGCTAAATAATTGCAATTTTATAGAAACCACAAGATCAATATGCAAACAATAGCTTAAATTCAATAGTGATGGAGAACTTTAATGCACTAAAAACATAAAGACAGGAAATGTCAATATGAAAAGTGTGATTATATGGAAAGACAGTTATTAAGAGTGTTTGCAAAATTCCAAAACACACAAAGATAACAGAAAACAAATGACAGCGAAAGAAAAGAGGCAGCAAACGCACTGGGCCTACTTGAAGCCTCAACCTTAATAATGTTAAAACTCACAATTTGATAGAAAACACAACATGAAAAGTGTATTAGTGTTTGTGTTTATACAGAAAAGCAGCTATAAGATAAGATAAGATACAATAAGATGTACTTTATTGATTAAAAACAGCAGATACATGATATTTCAGGCATTTTTTGTGATTGGTCAACCAGCTTAGAGATGTCCCGCCTCTTAGCCTATCACGTACAATGTGTTGGAGCGCTAGCCAATAGGAGCGTGAGTGTTCCATAGTGATGTCACCATGTTCTGGAAGCAAATATAGGAGTCAAATGGAGGCGTTTCAGGCCATTGACATGCACTAAAAACCTATATAACACACTACGGGAGAGGGAGAACCCCATAAAGAAAAACACGGTCTTTTTTAAATTCATAAATGATAGGAATCTGAAATAAAGGAGCAGATGATATTTAGGACTCCGAGCAGTAGGGAACGTTTTAACCCAAACTATGACAGTATTAAAGATCGTGGATTAATTGGATTGTAATAAAAAGTAAAGTAGGAGGCGTGTGGCGCAGTGGGTTGTGCGTAGGTGTTGGGGTCAGAGGGTCACAGGTTCAAACCCCACTGCAGTGTAAAGAGACCACATGTACGACATCTCCGTCTGATAAAATCCATTCATTTATTTATCTCTAGTTTCCTCCTCCTCTCCTCATTCTCTTCATTATGAGAAGCACACATTGACCTCTGAGCGGCCGAACGTAAACGATCCATTAGCTGCGTGTTAATTGGCTGCTGGAGGCCGAGGTGTCGCTGTGGATGAACAGCAATTAAAAGCTCGTTCACATTTCATCCGCTGACAGGACACGTCCACTTTCTGGCTCGCTGTCAACTTATTCTGACACATTTACAACCAGGAGGTCCATGACTTTCTCTCCTGCTGTAATGGATGCAGCAGGTAGAGAATAAACACTGTTATTCATGATGTATTAGTGCATCAAAGAGCTTTTTAAGAGTGATATTTAAGCACTTTAAAAGGTACCTTAATGAAAAACATTGAGCCTCTCAAAGTATTTTCCTTAATAGCGATCAAAGTGTATTACTATGATTATTTTAACCGGTCTTCACTTGACTTTCAGTTCTGATCATGATTATTTAATAATAAGCTCACTCAGCTTCTCTTAAATGTTTAATGAAAAGCATTTATTATTGTGGTTCGGACATTAACATCAGTTTGCTTTCAGCGTAGGGCAATTTAGATTTTGAAGAGCAAGACATTTGAAAGATTAATTTGTGGTGTGTTCTATAGTTTTTTGTGAATGTAAAATGGTCTGCATTACTTCAAGATTAAACACTCGCGCTCCTATTGGCTAGCGCTCCAACACATTGTACGTGATAGGCTAAGGGGCGGGACATCTCTAAGCGGTTGACCAATCACAACAGAGCCTGCCAGCTAACCAATCAGAGCAGACTGGTCTCTGGTTTCAGACAGAGGGTGAAAAGAGGTGCTGCAGCACAGGCAGTACGAGAACAATGAAGAACTTTTTTAACATTAGAGCATGGAGACACTACATACTGATATACACCTGAACATCAGCAGGAGAGGACTCTTTAAAGTAGAGACACTACATACTGACATACACCTGAACATCAGCAGGAGAGGACTCTTTAAAGTAGAGACACTACATACTGACATACACCTGAACATCAGCAGGAGAGGACTCTTTAAAGTAGAGACACTACATACTGACATACACCTGAACATCAGCAGGAGAGGACTCTTTAAAGTAGAGACACTACATACTGATATACACCTGAACATCAGCAGGAGAGGACTCTTTAAAGTAGAGACACTACATACTGATATACACCTGAACATCAGCAGGAGAGGACTCTTTAAAGTAGAGACACTACATACTGATATACACCTGAACATCAGCAGGAGAGGACTCTTTAAAGTAGAGACACTACATACTGATATACACCTGAACATCAGCTGGAGAGGACTCTTTAAAGTAGAGACACTACATACTGATATACACCTGAACATCAGCAGGAGAGGACTCTTTAAAGTAGAGACACTACATACTGATATACACCTGAACATCAGCAGGAGAGCACTCTTTAAAGTAGAGACACTACATACTGATATACACCTGAACATCAGCAGGAGAGGACTCTTTAAAGTAGAGACACTACATACTGATATACATCTGAACATCAGCTGGAGAGGACTCTTTAAGTAGAGACACTACATACTGATATACACCTGAACATCAGCAGGAGAGGATTCTTTAAAGTAGAGGACACTACATACTGATATACACCTGAACATCAGCTGGAGAGGACTCTTTAAAGTAGAGACACTACATACTGATATACACCTGAACATCAGCAGGAGAGGACTCTTTAAAGTAGAGACACTACATACTGATATACACCTAAAACATCAGCAGGAGAGGACTCTTTAAAGTAGAGACACTACATACTGATATACACCTGAACATCAGCAGGAGAGGACTCTTTAAAGTAGAGACACTACATACTGATATACACCTGAACATCAGCAGGAGAGGACTCTTTAAAGTAGAGACACTACACACTGATATACACCTGAACATCAGCAGGAGAGGACTCTTTAAAGTAGAGACACTACGTACTGATATATACCTGAACATCAGCAGGAGAGGACTCTTTAAAGTAGAGACACTACATACTGATATACACCTGAACATCAGCAGGAGAGGACTCTTTAAAGTAGAGACACTACATACTGATATACACATGAACATCAGCAGGAGAGGACTCTTTAAAGTAGAGACACTACATACTGATATACACCTGAACATCAGCAGGAGAGGACTCTTTAAAGTAGAGACACGTATAAAGAAATATAACCAAAAAACAAAGTGTGCTTCAGAACCCTTCTTTGTTATCGTATATTTTCAGGTGTATTTTTGCTGTAACTGCAGTTTGACCTCTCCACCTGTTCACGGACAGAGGAGTTGAAAGTCTCACCCTGGTCGCGGGGCAGCAGCCCTCTGCTGTTGCTCCACTGCAGCTCGAAGATGTAGTAGCAGACGAGATACTCCAGGTCCATCAGGACGAACACCAGAGAGTTCAGCTGGTCGGCCAGCCAGAAGTCTGCAAACTCCACCCGGTGGAACGGAGCCGTGAACACGCGGAACTGAAGAGGAGGGAGAGAGTCGGTCAAAGTCAGTCAATCTCAAAATATGTGTGTACACACAGAAGGATCGAAATACTGTTCCCCACAGTCCCGAGGTTTAAAAAACTCACACATTAAAATGCAAGAACACTCAATAATTTACAAAGAAAACACAAAATAACCATTTACTTCAGTAAGCAGGATATAAAACAAAATGATGTATTGTCCATAGGCAAGGCAAGTTTATTTATATAGCACTTTTCAACACAAAGCAATTCAAAGTGCTTTACAAAAAAAGAAAGACATTAAGAAAATGGCAGTGTGTGTCTCTATGTGTGTGTCTCTATGTGTGTGTCTCTATGTGTGTGTCTCTATGTGTGTGTCTCTATGTATGTGTCTCTATGTGTGTGTCTATGTGTGTGTCTCTATGTGTGTGTCTCTATGTGTGTGTCTCTATGTGTGTGTCTCTATGTATGTGTCTCTATGTGTGTCTCTATGTGTGTGTCTCCATGTGTGTCTCTATGTGTGTGTCTCCATGTGTCTCTCTATGTGTGTGTCTCTATGTGTGTGTCTCTATATGTCTCTCTATGTGTGTGTCTCTATGTGTGTGTCTCTCTATGTGTGTGTCTCTATGTGTGTGTGTCTATGTGTGTGTGTCTATGTGTGTGTCTCTATGTGTGTGTGTCTATGTGTGTGTCTCTATGTGTGTGTGTGTCTATGTGTGTGTCTCTATGTGTGTGTATCTATGTGTCTCTCTATGTGTGTGTCTCTATGTGTCTCTCTATGTGTGTGTCTCTATGTATGTGTGTCTATGTGTGTGTCTCTATGTGTGTGTGTGTGTGTCTATGTGTGTCTCTCTATGTGTGTGTCTCTATGTGTGTGTCTCCATGTGTGTCTATGTGTGTGTGTATCTGTGTGTCTCTCTATGTGTGCGTCTCTATGTGTGTGTCTCTATATGTCTCTCTATGTGTGTCTCTCTATGTGTGTGTCTCTATGTGTGTCTCTCTATGTGTGTGTCTCTATGTGTGTGTCTCCATGTGTGTCTATGTGTGTGTGTATCTGTGTGTCTCTCTATGTGTGCGTCTCTATGTGTGTGTCTCTATATGTCTCTCTATGTGTGTCTCTCTATGTGTGTGTCTCTATGTGTGTCTCTATATGTGTGTGTCTCTATGTGTGTGTCTCTATGTGTGTCTCTATGTGTGTGTCTCTATGTGTGTGTATCTATGTGTGTGTATCTATGTGTGTGTATCTATGTGTGTGTGTCTCTATGTGTGTGTGTCTATGTGTGTGTGTGTCTATGTGTGTGTCTCTATGTGTGTGTCTATGTGTGTGTCTATATGTGTGTGTGTCTATGTGTGTGTCTCTATGTGTGTGTGTCTATGTGTGTGTCTATGTGTGTGTGTGTGTCTATGTGTGTGTGTCTATGTGTGTGTCTCTATGTGTGTGTCTCTATGTGTGTGTCTATGTGTGTGTCTATGTGTGTGTCTATGTGTGTGTCTATGTGTGTGTCTCTATGTGTGTGTGTCTATGTGTGTGTCTATATGTGTGTGTCTCTATGTGTGTGTCTCTATGTGTGTGTCTATGTGTGTGTCTATGTGTGTGTCTATGTGTGTGTCTATGTGTGTGTCTCTATGTGTGTGTGTCTATGTGTGTGTCTATATGTGTGTGTGTCTATGTGTGTGTCTCTATGTGTGTGTCTATGTGAGTGTCTCCATGTGTGTGCGTCTCTATGTGTGTGTCTTCATGTGTGTGTGACCTCTACACAAACACAGGGTGTGTATCGTGCTCTCATGTTATTTGGGATTTGACTTTTGGCAGCAGCCGTTATTGACCGAGCTTTGTAAAATGATCTGTTTCCCCCCTCAGGCCACATGTGACATTCAGGAGCCACTGCACGCCTCTCCATTCAAACACTTCTGGAAATGTCAGAGAAAATTGATGTTTTTTCTCTTATACATATCCACCCATTACCCATCTCTCTCCACCTGTCAATCAGAGGCTGTATTGATCTCTTCTACACTCCATCTGTGTCTCAAGTCCTCTGCAGAGCTGGAGGGTTTTCATTCCTTCAGCAAACAGCAGTAATCTGCAGTTCGTCCTATAATGAAATCTCTGTCCTCTGTCTGGTGTTTATGATCAGAAGAAATAATCACACCTGGCATGAACGCATTTAAAAGCACCGCTGGAAACAACAACAGATTGTTTCATCGGATAATGAACATTGCTTCTAAAGCAGGGATGGGCAACTTTGATGGTGGTGGGGGCCACATCATTGATGTACTGGCCACCAGGGGGCCGCAGATTCACTTGGAACACACACACACAAGAATTCCATGTGTTGTATGTAATTATTAAAAAATATACTAAGTCTGACATCTTCATTGTCAGACTGCTTGTCAAATGCTACCGAGGTGTCCCTGAGCAAGGCACCGTTCCCCACATTGCTCCCCGGGCGCCGTTCAAAATGGCAGCACACTGCTCCTAACACAGGATGGGTCAAATGCAGAGAAACAATTTCCCCACGGGATTAATAAAGAATATCAAATTACATTACATTACATTACATTGCATTTAGCTGACGCTTTTGTCCAAAGCGACTTACAATAAGTACATTCGACCAGGAAGACACAACCTTGAAGAAAACAGAATCATATAAGTATATCAGGTTTCATAGAGCCAAACATTTCAAGTGCTACTCAACTGGCTTTAGGTAATCCAGTCCTTTATTGGTATAAAAGTGCTTCGTTAATCGTTCTAACGCTCGAAGTGGAGTCGAAAGAGATGAGTTTTCAGTTTGCGCCGGAAGATGTGCAAGCTATCTGCTGTCCTGATGTCAATGGGAGCTCATTCCACCATCTTGGAGCCAGGATAGCAAACCCACGTGTTTTCGCCGATGGGAACTTGGGTCCCCCTCGCAGCGAGGGCGCAACGAGTCGTTTGGCTGATGCAGAGCGTAGTGCACGCGCTGGGGTGTACGGTTTAACCATGTCCTGGATGTAGGAAGGGCCAGATCCATTCGCAGCACGGTAAGCAAGTACCAGTGTCTTGAAGTGGATTCTAGCAGTTACCGGAAGCCAGTGAAGGGAGCGGAGGAGCGGAGTGGTGTGGGAGAATTTAGGAAGGTTGAAAACCAGACGAGCCGCTGCATTCTGGATGAGCTGCAGAGGTCGGATGGCACATGCAGGTAGACCAGCCAGGAGGGAGTTGCAGTAGTCTAGGCGTGAGATGACGAGAGCCTGGACCAGAACCTGAGTCGCTTTCTGAGTCAGCTGGGGACGTATCTTCCTGATGTTGTAAAGCGTGTATCTGCAGCAGCGGGTTGTAGCAGCGATGTTTGCAGTGAAGGACAGGTTGTTATCTAGGGTCACACCCAGATTCCTTGCAGTCTGAGTCGGGGAAACAACTGAGGTGCCGATGTTGATTGTCAGGTCAAGAGTTGGACAATCTTTTCCCGGGAGGAAGAGCAGCTCAGTCTTGTCAAGGTTGAGCTTGAGGTGGTGAGCAGACATCCACTGAGAGATGTCAGCTAGACAAGCAGAGATGCGTGCGACGACCTGGGTCTCTGAGCGGGGAAAGGACAGAATTAATTGGGTGTCGTCAGCGTAGCAGTGGTATGAAAAACCATGCGGGCTAATGACTGATCCGAGCGAGTTTGTGTACAAGGAGAAGAGGAGGGGACCAAGAACAGAGCCCTGAGGGACCCCCCGTAGTTATATCATTGACATTTTACAATCAAAGGGAACATCCCCAAAAAATGGGAACATCCTCTACTAAGCTCACTACACAAATATCAGTTCACAGAAATGTTATTTCATTTTTACAAGAGGCATGTTTGTATTGAACAGGTTATTAAACAGTGGAATAAAGCTATTTTTAAACTATTGGAAAGCACGGAAAATGTGTGTGTATTGAGATGAACCATTAGATGACATAAAGATGAAGTCATGAACACTAACCCAGACATTAGTCACTAACTTGAACCTAAAACACTTGTAGCCAGTCTCTGCATTCCCCTTGTTCCACAATAAGGGGAATGTCAACACGCCCGCACTCTGCTGTTCCTCAGCGCCCCCCCCCCCCCCCCTCCCGCTGAAATTATGAATGAAAAGCGTAGTAATAATAGATAACACGGCAGGGTCCGTGACAGTTTGTTTTCATCTGATTTCAAATAAACAAAGTCTTGGTTTTAAGAATATTAAACTTGTTTCGCCAAATTCAGATGATAAAAACTACTTTTAAGCTTGTAAAGCTTGTTAAGCTTTAAGCATAATTACAAGCGGCAACTCAACGTCACAGCAGGCATAACAACAGCCGGTGTTTCTTGTGAGGGTTGCCCCGGGAAACAAACACAATACACACAAATGCGTCACAGATTATTTTGCGGTATTTGAAATCATGTACGCAGCTCGCGACGTAACTAGGAGTCTAGTGGACGGTATCAGTACTACAAGTAAAACAAATTCAAAATATATATATTTTTTTAAATATATATTTTTAAAATGAATTACGTTGTTCATAAATTAATCTGAGGGCCGCAAAAAGAGGAGGTGGGGGCCGCATGCGGCCCGCGGGCCGCCATTTGCCCATCCCTGTTCTAAAGTGTCGTAATGAAAGGCATATCTACATTGTGACAGCGGCACAATATGACAACAAGGTAAGTCATAAATTGCAATAGGAGACACATATAACCCTTAATTGTTTTCCTAGGCCTCAGTGATGAGACAACGAGAGCAGCGCCTCTAAGTAGGCTCAAGTCCCGCCCCCCCTTCAACAAGGCAGCACAAGAGATTCTCAATTCCACCTCTGAGGACCTCTCCAGAGATGCATGGTTGGCGGCTGCTTGGAAGCAGGAGTGGGAGCTAGCCGGGCCCTCCCGTATCCATCGCTACATCTGGGACCCAGGAGATGGCGCCATAGGAGGAGACGACCTACCACGCCGGCAATGGACCACACCAAACCTACGAACTGGGGTCGGTCGCTTCAAAACATCAATGAAGAAGTGGGGCCTGGCAGACAGTTCTGCATGCGAGTGCGGTGACCCTGAACAGACTGCCCAACATATAATAACCACCTGCTCTTTATATAGACCACCAGCCTCTTCGACTTAGGACCAGAGATGCGGGCATGGCTACACGACAGCGAGTTGGACCTCTGACGTTACACGAAAGAAGAAGAAGTGAAGAAGTGATGAGATTTGAATATCCTGTACCCTTTGAACTTTGTCAATAGAAATTATTTTTAGTGCCTATTTTGGTATTTATTTCTTTAAGTGTGTTCAAATGCTTGATATTCCGTGAATCTGTACAACCAACGCTTAAAGGTTCTGAAAGCCAATAACAATAAATAATTGTAATAAAAATGTGGTATTGAACAGATAGATATATACGATAAGATTCAATACGATACGATCTGACACGATACGATATGAAGCTACACTATACGATCCGATACCATATGATAGAATACGATATGATACGAAATGATAAATGATAAGAAATGATACGATGCATTACGATATATTCTGAAATGTTACAATATGATAGGAGACCAGAAGAGGCGATACGCAACCATCTGATACGTTACGATACTATACTATCTGATACTACACAATCTGATCATAACACAACATCAAAATAACTGAAGAGAACATGTTCAAGACCCCCTTTGACGTCCATTTGATCTGGGATTTAACCCTGTATTTACTCTCAGATTGATCAGCAGGACCGGATACGAGTCCTTTAGGGATTGTGTACGACGGCCTTGAAAAAGAAACAGCCCCTATCGGCTTTTACGATTACTGAGAGCCAATAAAAACTGAGTATGATTATGAAGCCGCATGAGTGGAGGAGGGCTGAGGGAGCGATATTCTGAGGACGGTGGGGAGTTGTAAAGGGAAGGAGGAGGGGGGAGGAAGAGGAGGAGGAGGAGGAGGAGGAGGAGGAAGAGGAGCTCAGGGCATCAGCATACTGATAGATCTGTGCCTGTAATGATTGCACAGTCACAACCCTCCACCTCCCCTGGGACGAGGCTGCTTTCTATTATCTCTCAACCCTCTGCCCTCTGTCTCACTACACCCCCTCCACACACACACACACACACACACACACACACACACACACACACACACACACACACACACACACACACACACACACACACACACACACACACACACACACACACACACACACACACACACACACACACACAGTGCAGCTCGGCTTAGACAAAGAACAGTCACACAGGAGGGTTTTGTAAACATGAGGCTTGAGATACATATCTGAATTTTACATGCATTCATTGTGTTTGATAAAGATATAAACACACACACACACACACACACACACACACACACACACACACACACACACACACACACACACACACACACACACACACACACACACACACACACACACACACACACACACACACACACACACATATCTCCAGTAATTGTTTTCTGGGGCCTTAGTGACCTGTTTTAATATATTTGAATCCAACACTAATTAAACTCTGTGAAAGAAATTATATTTTTTTGTGTACATTTGTATTTTATGCTTGTTTTGTTTTAGGAGTATCTTGAAATGCTTCGTATCCCTAACAATGAACACCGTAATAGATAAAAGGATTCATCAAATTTCACAAATCAAACACAAAACATAATGATCTTAGATATTTCTTACGTAGACTTTCTTATCTCTTGAATGAGTTTCTGCAAAACGCCCTCACACAGTTTTGTGTTATGGAATATGGAGAAAGAGAATTGATGCTGATCGTGTTTTTCTACACTGTATAAACTCTTTTGATATTGTATAGTCGTATGATAATTGGTGAAGTTTTCTGTCAGTTATTTGAGCGTTTAAAAGTTGGAAATATGACATGGGACCTTTAAGGTAAAAACATCTGATTAAAAAGTGGGGTTACTTTTGTTTGAGTTGTTTTGTCCGTGCTGCAATTCAAATGTGCTCCGTGTTATTACCATATGCAAATCTCCAGCCCACACTGATCCGTTGTCTCACGTTGTCTCATCTTGTTTGCATTTATTTTGGTATGGCAGTCCTATAAAAAGCCTGTTTACATCTGACTCAGCAATTCCCTTTGTGTATCCATTAACCCTGACAGTTTGGCTCAGCTTGAATTAAATCCTTCCTTTTAAAAAAAACACCACGGCCATAGAATTGAATTACGCTGCGATACATGATCGTGTGTTTTGCACTGACCAGCAGCTTGAGGAGCCAGAAGCGAGACTTGTAGTATCCGGTCTTGAAGGGGTTGATGAGGAAGAGCAGCATGAAGCCGTAGAGGATGAGCGGGTTGATCTGCATGGGGAGGTAAGTGTAGTCCGAGTAGAGGCAGGAGAGGATGCTGAGGCACCACAACACTCCCAGGAAACCCGCAATCTGCACAGAAACAACACAAAGAGGCATTAGGAGGAGAAAGCACTTTTTGATTGAAGACTCATAGAAAATACATTCGGTACATCGATAGGTTAGATTGAACAGTTCAAAGGTACTAGTGTTCAGCTTAGTCTCTACTATTGTACTTCAAATGACAACAATACAATATTTAAACCACAATTACAACCAAAACAGACCATGTAGCCAAAATGTAAGAGAGTGTTGTACAGTTGTACAAATAATACATAAATAAATACAAAAGAATAATAATAAAACAATAGAAAGACAAAAAACAAATAATAATAATAATACATGACACTTATATAGCGCTTTTCTAATAACTCACAGACGCTTATCATCACAATTAACAAGGCAATCTGAATAGTTATATGCAAACCATGTTGTGATTTGTTATTCCAGAGTATAAATCAAACCCTGTGGACATTAGGTATGTTCAGCTGAATGGAATCAAATCTGCATATTTCAGAAAATGCATGATCACACATTTTTAACAGAAAAACAAAGTGGTTTATTTTCACTACAGAGTGCGAATCAGATGTTTCACAACATTTTGTTTAAACAAGTAGAGGACTAGCTCTTCTCACAAGCCCCTCCCCATTGTACATAAACCAATCAATTCAAATATAATAAACAAAAATAAACAAATTCATCTAGTCCAGGGGTTCCCAACTTTTTCCCCCGAGAGCCCCCCCAAATGACTCCTGTTGGGAGTTGCACCCCCCCCCCCCCCCCCCCCCCCACCACACACACGCACAAGGGGGTGCGAGGGGGGCAACAGACAAGGCAACAGCGGTAATTAAAGTTTAAAAGTCTCTAAAAGCTACAACTACTGTCACAAACTGGATGAATGTGAAGTATTTTGTTAAAGGAGGATGAAAGCGTAATCAAGGAGCACTATTGGAGTGACTTTGATGGCTATTGGACTCAGGATTAATTCATTTGGATTCCCGCTGTATGAAGAAATGAAAGGACTGCGTAAATGGAAACAATTCACAAAGGGATTCAACTGTTTCAAACACAGGCTCAAAGTAAGCCGGATTTTGCCGATGTGTTTCTGTGGATTCAAAAGTCGTAAATAATCTACAAAATGGAGGAGACCGATCTGATCGGAGCAACTGTGACAAATAATCCAACTGAAGCCGGAATGGACAATGGCTATGTTTTAAACATGCGCTTATCCAGACAAGCCCGGTTTGGACACTTTACGGGCAGAAGAAACATTTCTACAGAAAGAATTATAAATGTCTGTCTTTTTATGCCTTTAATACTAATTGTAATGCTTATTCAAATTAATTAATCAATTTATTTGTTATACTTTATTGTAATGTAGAGACAAGGCTTTTAGCGACAATCATGTATTGTGTAACAATTATATGTAAAAAAAAAATTATAAATAAAAATAAAAAGTCTAAATATGATATTAGGCCTCAAATCATCTGAGGCCTGGCGCCCCCCAGGTTGGAAACCACTGATCTAGTCGATACGGAATGTGAGAAAATGTATCTTTGTGATTCAATCTTTTACTTTATTTCAGAGTAAAAAACGTTCCAGTCCTGACCTCGAACAGGTGCTGGTGTGAGAGGTTGTTTCGGGGGTTGATCTCGAAGATGAGCACGTGGTTGACTCCGGCCTGCCGCCATCCGTAAGTGTTGATGCCCAACAGGAAGAGGAACTGGATCAACAGGAAGCCGCCGCGGTAGATACGCACCAGAGGCCAAATGTTCTCAAAGCGTACGAACACAGCACCTGAAAAAACACAGAGGATGCTTTCATTTGATATATCTCAAACCCTGAAAAGAGTCAGCATTTCATCACTTCCTGTTCTATCCTGAAATAAGGTGTGTGGTTAACACAAGCTGAAGAGATTTTTATTCTACAACTTGAAATACGTCAGTAAATACCCCACTGGTGAATTAAAAAACGTTGGTTGCTAACAAGAGTCTAAATGAGACGACTAAACAAAGTCATGCCCAACATTAGCCACCTTTAGCTTAGCAGTGGTGACGTGAAGTCATGTGACCGTGCTGTAGTTCCTTTATAGCCCAACATTAGCCACCTTTAGCTTAGCGGTAGTGACGTGAAGTTATGTGACCGTGCTGTAGTTCCTGTATAGCCCAACATTAGCCACCTTTAGCTTAGCGGTGGTGACGTGAAGTCATGTGACCTCGTTGTAGCTCCTTTATAGCCCAACATTAGCCACCTTTAGCTTAGCGGTGGTGACGTGAAGTCATGTGACCGTGATGTAGTTCCTTTATAGCCCAACATTAGCCGCCTTTAGCTTAGCGGTGGTGACGTGAAGTCATGTGACCGTGCTGTAGTTCCTTTATAGCCCAACATTAGCCACCTTTAGCTTAGCGGTGGTGACGTGAAGTCATGTGACCGTGCTGTAGTTCCTTTATAGCCCAACATTAGCCGCCTTTAGCTTAGCGGTGGTGACGTGAAGTCATGTGACCGTGCTGTAGTTCCTTTATAGCCCAACATTAGCCTCCTTTAGCTTAGCGGTGGTGACGTGAAGTCATGTGACCGTGCTGTAGTTCCTTTATAGCCCAACATTAGCCACCTTTAGCTTAGCGGTGGTGACGTGAAGTCATGTGACCGTGCTGTAGTTCCTTTATAGCCCAACATTAGCCACCTTTAGCTTAGCGGTGGTGACGTGAAGTCATGTGACCGTGCTGTAGTTCCTTTATAGCCCAACATTAGCCACCTTTAGCTTAGCGGTGGTGATGTGAAGTCATGTGATCGTGCTGTAGTTCCTTTATAGCCTAACGTTAGCTTTTTACTTCAAAAATTATAAAGTGGTGTTAATATGTGGAGAGTATCCTGCTGAACTAAACGTGTAAGCATCATAAACGTTTGTTTGCCACAGATATTATTTTCTGCAATAATCCAAAATCACATGGAGAAATCCCATTGTCTTTTATAGAGGGTCATGCTGTCTTCAGGGTCGGCCTAAAAAAATACGTCACGGCAGAACAGGATTTCCTGCTTTTAAAAAATCTAACATTTGAAAAGTTAATGAATATCAACGAGATTTTTGCTCACCAGAGAGAATGAAGGCGATGGCGAGGATGATGAAGAAGCCGCAGTAGAGTCCAACACGAAAGGTGGTCCAGGCCAGAGTGGGCTGCAGCAGGAAGAGAGGAAACACATACATTAATAATGGAAAAGACATCAAATAATAACACATAATGTATTGTATTTGACATATTAATACATTATTATGCAACTACAACTCTTCATCAAACATATATCCATATAGAGCTCCTTTTATCTGCTTGATTATATGTATATCATGCACACGCCTGCAGGGTGGACGTAGAGATCAATAGTCACAAAGCACATATATTTCAAAGCTGACAGTAATTAATGCATTAATAACAGTAGATATTACATATGGAGGTAAAGTGCCACTAGCTTCTGAAAGATATCCTGTTCAACATTAAGAAGGCACTTATAAAATCAATGAAAGCCTCTTATGGTTTCTCCTTCTTTCCATCCCTCTCAAAACAAACCTCTCACCTTCTGTTCTCAACCTTTACTCACCAGCAGCGTCTTAAAAACAACGATACAGTGAGACGCAGATTGCAACGGTGGGATATTCAAAGACATGGAGAGCATACTGAGGTCTTTTATAACTATCCAGTAACAGATGGAGACTAATAATGTTATGATGAGAGTAACTATGATGGTCTATTGCTTCAGTTACTTAATAGATGAGAGTAACACACTTTTGGGGGAAAAACATTCGCTGTCATTTGAATGGCGGTAAATACAGATTCTGAAGTTTTCAACCATCACATACAAAAATTAAGAAAATGATGATGGTCAGACAGACAAACTATTCGAAAATGTCCCTGGAGATCACTGATCTGCGTCGATTCTTTGTTTAATTTAAATAAATAGGGAAATGATGACGAGTGGCAAGCAGCAGACTGACACTGAGATTTCTGAGTTTCTTTTACTGTCCTTTTTTCTGTAGAGGAAGCAAATAAACCGTAACTCGGGATTTATTTGTTGTTTGAGGTGAAATATATGACTCAGCAGCTTTAAGACATGAAGACACTATTATTTCCTGCTTCGCTCTGATGCAGTATTGTCCCCCGAAAAGTTGGCGGGCCGTAAATTCGCCAGGAAGTGACATAGGTGTTCCCTATTGATTCAAATTCAACTATAAATCAACACAGATGATGGATCTCTAGTGACATTTTTTAACAGTTTGTATGTCTGACCATCACAATTGGGATTCTTGTAGATACAAAAAAGCGCGGTATTCTTAATTTTTTATGTGATTGCTGAAAACTTCTGAATCTGTAGTGTGTTTTCACCCAAAAGTTGGCGGGGGCAGTAATTTCTCCAGGAAGTGACGCATGTGTTACTCTCATCTACTTGTAAATGAACCAAATGACACACAGAAAGATGGCGGATAGTACTTCCTGTTGTGTATCAGCTGAACTGACCTGAGCCGCCCCCAGAGGAGGAACTCTGAGCCTCTTCATGGCCTTCTGACGGTCTCCTCCCTCCAGCTCTGTGGTCACGATAGTCTGCAAACACACACAACAACATATCATGAGTTTATCTGTGTTTAATAGTGTGTGTGTGTGTGTGTGTGTGTGTGTGTGTGTGTGTGTGTGTGTGTGTGTGTAGGGCTGCACCAGGCCATCCCGTTTGACCTCTTTGCCCTCCCTTATCTTGCACTTAAATGCTAGGATCGATATGATGTTATATACAGACTCAAATCCAAATAATATATACTTCACATACTGTACATGTGTAATATATACTATTTTTGATAAGCACAGATTTAGACAGATCACTATTCAGAGCAAACCTTGCAGCAAGTATGTGTGTGTGTGTGTGTGTGTGTGTATGTGTGTGTGTGTGTGTGTGTGTGTGTGTGTGTGTGTGTGTGTGTGTGTGTGTGTGTGTGTGTGCACCTCTGTCTCTGAGATGAGATGAGTGATCTTCTTGCAGGTGTAGAAAGGAGCCACCTCCACATGAGCCACGCGCCAGTCGGCCCCGCGGGGGGTGTCCAGGATCTTATCGTGCTTCTTCAGGATCTTACGGAAACCCGTGAAGTTCAGGTTCTGTGGACGACAACGAGGAAACAACGGTTAGAAACTCACTCAGAGATAGGAGGGTTTATTTCATTTCAGACCAGGGGGGAACAATACACTTACTAAAAGAAGCCCTGTTCTGCTTTTTAGGGATTTTCGGTTTCCTGTAGTGTGTTTTATAGGTTTTAGTGCAAGTAAAATCTCTTTGTTCCCTCCGGATTGAGGACTCTTTAAAGTAGAGACACTACATACTGATATACACCTGAACATCAGCAGGAGAGGACTCTTTAAAGTAGAGACACTACATACTGATATACACCTGAACATCAGCAGGAGAGGACTCTTTAAAGTAGAGACACTACATACTGATATACACCTGAACATCAGCAGGAGAGGACTCTTTAAAGTAGAGACACTACATGCTGATATACACCTGAACATCAGCAGGAGAGGACTCTTTAAAGTAGAGACACTACATACTGATATACACCTGAACACCAGCAGGAGAGGACTCTTTAAAGTAGAGACACTACATACTGATATACACCTGAACATCAGCAGGAGAGGACTCTTTAAAGTAGAGACACTAAATACTGATATACACCTGAACACCAGCAGGAGAGGACTCTTTAAAGTAGAGACACTACATACTGATATACACCTGAACATCAGCAGGAGAGGACTCTTTAAAGTAGAGACACTACATACTGATATACACCTGAACATCAGCAGGAGAGGACTCTTTAAAGTAGAGACACTACATACAGATATGGCCCAGAATAGGACCCCTTTAAACCACTAAAACCCACATGTATGTATCTGGGAATGTCAGCATTTGTTCCAAAGGAGGTTGTATTGTCCTGGTACCTGGTAGTTCTGCAGCAGGATGAGGCTGAGGTAGAACTCGCTGAATGCCAGCTTCAGGTCCTTGATGTTGTGGTGTTTGCAGCGCTCCTCCTGGGACAGGTGGAACATGGTCTTACGTCTCCGCAGGCCGGGCGGAGCGTTGCTCTCGCGCTGAGCGTCCAGAGACGACTGCAGCTCATTCTGCAGCGTGGCCGAGCGACGCTGAGCCTCGGCTAGCTTCTCTGCAGGGAGGGAGCACGAGAACATGATTCAAAAGAGGTTTTAGACAAGAAGATTTAAGCGATAGTAGACTTTATGGAGATCAGTCTGCCCGGCTGTCTGTTCCAGGAAATGAAGCGTGGAGACTCTCAGGAAGGGCTGACGTGCACATGTTGAGGGAGAGGAATCATTACCTGGGTCAGAGACATTTTAATATACTCAGAAGAGAGGAAAAGAGAGGGCAGTAAGTAACCAGTAAATGTCATTAAAAACACACACACACACACACACACACGCACACACACACACACACACACACACACACACACACATACACGGTTTTCTCTACATGTTAGTGACAGTGATCCTCGGATGAACACATGTGAGCAGCTGGAGGCGTGAGAAAGTCCTGAGCTGTAGATTAAATCTGAAGACGAGGTGACTCTTCGTGTGTGTGTGTGTGTGTGTGTGTGTGTGTGTGTGTGTGTGTATGTGTGTGTGTGTGTGTGTGTGTGTGTGTGTGTGTGTGTGTGTGTGTGTGTGTGTGTGTGTGTGTGTGTGTGTGTGTGTGTGTGTGTGTGTGTGTGTGTGTGTGTGTGTGTGTGAGGCTAATGGACCATAAAGGGACAGGTGTGGGGGGTCAGCTTTCACTCTGTTCTTCCTTTAGCTTTTAGGAAGATATTCAATGGCAGTCTGCAAACATTTATTTTCTTGTGCCTATTTGACCAAAGGGTCAAAGGGTCTTCATCGTTTTCATGCAAAGGGCTTGTAAGTGAAAGAGAGACAAATAGCGACAACCTTTCCCAAAAAAACCACTCAAACTCATTGTTTTTTTTCAAATTTTGAATAAAAATATTCTTTTAAAACATAATCAAACAATAATCTGGTCTAACCCGTGAAGTGTTGGTTCAAATTGGGTTAGAGACCTATTTCATGCTGTTTTAGGATGCTTATAATGCTAAGGTCTTTAAATAGAATTAGGTGGGTGTCGCTAACCAGTTTTTCAATATAGATAAGTGCAGCAGGTGATTTAGCACAAGCTAGCTTTTCTTTTCACTTATAAGCTGATTTAACGTCCCTTAAATGTTGGATTTGGACGTGTTTTCTTAGACGCCTTTTGATTTCTGAGTGAAAATACACTTTTGAAACATGCAGTAACTCTTCGGCCCCCTGTTGAAGACCCCTGGTTTTCTTTAACTCATGAAGAAGGAGGTCTGCAGGATTTGAGCGCAGCACAGCTTTCAGAGGTCAGAGACCCCTTTCAGAGCAGAGAGCCTGATGTACAGTCAGCACACCATCTATCTGCCACACACACACACACACACACACACACACACACACACACACACACACACACACACACACACACACACACACACACACACACACACACACACACACACACACGGTGAGTGGCATCAGATAAAGAGTGTGTGTGGAGGGTAAACACGATGCTGAGAGCAGGAGATGTTTTCATGAACAACACAGCGCTCACACACTGATGAGGATCTGCTGACCACAGATTCAACACGCAGCGCTGAGATCAACATACAATAACATCTATTCGTATCTGTTTTTATTCATATGCGCAGACACTGACATATAATATTTACTTTCGAATGTAAAAAATCTAAAGGCTCACAACTCAAGAGTGATAGGTTGAGCACTGATTCATCAGATGTCAGACAATGTGTATTTGTTAGCATCTATTTATTATATGTAGATTAAGTTCTGTCTTTTTCTATTTAACATCATATTAAAGTGAGAATGTTTGAGCTTTGGACTTCGAGAAACAGGGAAGGACGATTTTCACTCATTTGTGATATATTAATGAATGATGAATGTAAGCCGACTAACACCAACATGTACTGATTAGTCATATCATTGATTAACGGGCGTCGTACATTATAGTGTATGACGTACCCACAAACAGATTTATACAAGGCAAAGGAATGATGTCATGTCCTCTGCAGCAGGACGCTTCTGGAGTTTCTTAATAATGAAAATATGTATAAAACTTAAGGGTCAAACCTTCAGCGTTTCAGTAAATAAACCCCCCCGCTAACAAGATCTGTGCTGATTTCCATCTGGTTTATTCACTGACATGCATCTGCCCGTTACGGCTCTTTAAATGCACTCTATGGTTATGATGTCCCATCATGAAGAGCTGGGACAATCTGTCCAGTTCACCTTGGACCTCAGCTGACCTGCAGTTCCTCTGACAGCCTGTAGAGGACGTCTTCACACACACACAAACGATTTAAAGGCTTTGTTGTCATATGCCCAGCTGCAGAAACGACAGCATCATTTATGGCAATTAATCTAAAGTCCCAGACGCTTTTATTTTAACATGTATATTTTCTACTTTTTTAATGCTATTTTATTTCTATTTGAGATGTTTACATTTTGGAATGTTTATTTCTAGTCTTTTAATTTCTCTAATGTTCAATGCCTTGTGTTTTTATGCTGCTGCAACGCAAACATTTCCCAAATTGAGATCAATAAAGTATTTATTATCTTATCTTATCCTGCTCCATGCAGCAAACTGTACTTAAGACGTACAATGAAAAATAAGAGTGCAAGAGACATAATGGTGCAAGTAAATCCCAGCTATAATGGAATATACACGTATACAGTATAATGAGAATGTACATTTAATACAGTACAGTAGAACAAATACTGTTTACTGTGATACTGCCCTTCTGGAAGCAGAGCAACGACATGTTTTATGGCTTCCATCTCAGGTTACACACACACACACACACACACACACACACACACACACACACACACACACACACACACACACACACACACACACACACACACACACACACACACACACACACACACACACACACACACACACACACACACCTCGCCTCAACACGACAACCTCTGGCGACTTCAATCACACCAACACCAGACACAACATGGAGAGAGTAAATCACAACTCTGAAATATATATTTATAAACCTGATAGCTGATGCTTATGTATATTAACATTTAAAATATGATTACCCGCCACATGTTGAACGTTGAGGCAATAATAAGGTAATTAAATAAGACTTAGGATGCAGAAGGAGGGTTATTGCAAAACAAAATCAAATATTGAAATAAAAAGGTTAAGTAAATAAAACATGCATCAACTATAACATCTCAAATAGTAGTAGCTTAGGTAACAGTCTTTATATCAATATATTATGTTACACCATATGTAAAATGTTGATGTTTTATACAATGTTAAAGTTATTTAAGGTGATTCTGGAAAGCTTATTTGCAAGAGGAGCTTTTTTTGTTTATATTAAATGATAGTTTGGAATTTGTACAGGTTTTAATGAGATTGTCACGATCTGTCTGTATTGTATTTTGTCTTGTCTTGTTTCATGTTTTATTTTGAAAGGTCTTCACTTCCTGTCTTTGGTTTTCTGTCTGCGTTGTGTCTTGTTTAAATCTGTCTGTGGTTCCCTGTCGTTAGTTTCCCTGGTGTGTCTGTTTACCCGATTGTGTTCACCTGGTGTCTCTGTGTGTTCTCCTCCCTCCTCACCTGGGTCTTGTTTCTGTGATTAGTCTTGTGTGTATTTAAGTTCTGGTTTTTCTGTCTGTCTTTGTCGGTTCGTCTTGTGTCATGACTAGTTCTTCGGTGAGTGTTCTGTTTTGTCTTTGTTTAGCACCTAGCCTTGAAATAAAGGAGTTTTTCAGTTTATATCTGCATTTGGGTCCTGCCTGCTTCACACACCGTAACATACATAGTTAATTCAATAGTCTATTTAACTACGATCCCAATTACAACACTTTCACGATTTCACAAAAATCATAATCTAATTATATATAATTTTTCACTTCTGGAGTAAAATAATGCACCGTAGAAAGAATAAAATAAAACGTAAGGTGTGAAATATTATAAAAGCTATTATAGAATCTAAAAAATGACGAGTATAGGAGACATAAATATACAAAAAAGGGAATTGAATACGAACATCTGAAACCCTTCATCCTTGATTTCACAGACTCAACGATAGGTTATAAATAAAGTAATAAGTACCCGAGTAGAAGGTGTTGATTTTCAGCAGCTCCTTCTCGCAGGTCTGGAAGAAACGCTCCTCAAACTTAGCGTAGTATCTCTTCACCGCGTCTTCATCTGTGACTGGAGAACAACAACAGAGACAGAAACATTAACGAGCTGCATGATGAAAGGCACACGCATGTACACATTATAGCAATGCTGTACTTTTATACATCGTGTAAACTAGGGGGACCTTTAAGTCCTAGGAGTCAGACTTTTAAACGTTTATCTGAACAGAGACATCAACACCATGCAACAACAGCTTCCTGTCCGTCTGGCTTCAGTCTCTCTAAACCAGGGGGTCAAACTCAAATACACAGTGGGCCAACATTAAAAAATGGGTACTAGTGGAGGGACTGGTTCAATGTTTATTGCAGAACTTATTGAAATGAACTTATTGCACATTTTAAACCTGGAACTAACAAAGCTTCAATTATTGCCTATAAAAACAACATTAAATAATCAGCTGCATTCATTTCTTATGGCTCTATCTGCAGCTTTTCCAGAGTCATTTCTTATGAGTACATTTCTCCACAGGCCAACAACAGCTTCAACAAAACTATTCCCCTCAGAGAGAAAACCAAACATGCCCTGTTGTCGTGAGAGAAAGTGCAGAAGGAAGCATCCATTGAACTCAGGTTGCTGCTCTGTGATGCTAGCTCAGATACTTGGCATCTCATCTTGGGGGCAAGGTCATCAATGTTTGGGCTCAGGCTCTGAGCGGAGGAGACCCTCAGGATGGAGTGAAGGTGCGCGTGCAATATACCGAAGGGCCAGATCTTATAGGAATTAGAAATTATCCTGCGGGCCGAAATTAAATCCACCAAGGACCGGATTTGGCCCCCGGGCCTCGAGTTTGACACATGTGCTCCAAACCCTGCACGTCTTTTTGCAGGACATAATAAGTAACACAACAGCTAGAACATTACTTTAGCACTTTACTGTAATGCAGCCGGTGAATCGAGGAATTGACTACACTTATTTCACATTATCACCATATCTCATATCATTAAAATATAACATCCATATATTCCCCGGCTCTACAGGGTGCCTCACATGTTGTTTCTATGATCAGCTGACCTTCTCATCACTCAGACCCGTGTCTACATGTCGAATAAAGACCTCAGAATAAAGAGAGCAGTGTGTGTGCAGGGTAAAGGGGATCCAGTAGTGATACAGAAGCAGTGGCGATTAAATAAAGTGAGGCCTGACTGGATGCAGAGGTGTTTCTATTCAACACGGTAATAAGAAAGCGACGCCGCAGGCAGCAGCTTGTCAATATCACTGTTCACACACACACACACACACACACACACACACACACACACACACACACACACACACACACACACACACACACACACACACACACACACACACACACACACACACACACACACACACACACACACACACACACACATCTGCAGCAGTGTGTGTAAGCGCTGTGATGAAAAGGTGAGAGAAACTTTAAAGTCCAACAGCTTTACAAGAAACACAAATGAGAAACCGCCTCCACCAGCTGTGAAGATAATCAATTATGAGTTAATTAAACTGCGCAGGAGAAACACGGTGAGGTGTTCTGTAGAAGGACAAATCATAAAGGAACATAAAGATCCTGCAGCACGAGACAAAACACCCTTCACTCATTGTTAGATAAGGTATCTAAGAAGTGCCCGTTAAACATCCAAACAGGATCATTATGGAGAATGCAAATGGGAAATAGGACGACATTATGGGAGAAGTCTGTAGAGAAGAGCAAACATCCACTTGGCATCAGCAGTGACCTCGCAGTACAACGATTATTGTACGAGAAAGGAGAGCAACCATTCAGAAAGACGTTTATCCTGTATAGGAGCTCAAAGCCACTTAAATACAGCGCAAGAGAAGAAGAAAAGTACTGATTATATAGGAGGACGATAAAGCTCAGTCAGTCAGATAAAGTCAGCATGTTGTCAGTAAAAGCAAAGGAATCTAAACACGCACACTAAACGTTCTATTTCCTAAGTGTTCCTAACCATTACCTGGAAGGATGCACATACGTTGAGAAAATGAATACAACTTGTTTTAATTCAGTGTCACAGTATCTCCTCGTCTCCAATTTATAAGGTGTTCCTTTCAAATCATTGTCTACCGTGCAACAAAAAAGAAAAATAGCCGTTATTTATTCCAGATTTTTGTCAGCAGAGAGGCTGAAAAAGGCGTGGGTTGCCTCGACTTTAGAAAGAGGTATTTCTGCTTGAATTGTAGACCAATCAGCTGAATGTCTGGTCAGTGAGTGTGTGTGATGACAGAATGAATAATGGTCCAACATGCAGACCTGCAGGCGAGCAGCAGGCTGATGCTGTGATTTAAAGTAAAAGGTTAACCCTCTAATGAACACTGTGTGAAGGAGCACTGAGGGAACAGAGAGGAGGAGCAGTGGAGCATTTAACATATGTCCCCTACATATCAGTATTTGTTTAATTCTAAATGTCCAGGAAATGATTGTCTATTCACCTTCACCCCGCCTGTTTCCCCACTTCCTGTTTAAATGCTTATGTGTTAGTTCTTCCAGCAGCTTAGTAAACGAGGAGTTTTATTCAAGATCATTGTCAGCTACACTGAGGCGATTGGATGGTTTTACAGCATACATGATCTGTTAGTGACTGCAGGATGATATATGACAAGCTAGCAAAACGTTAGCTATCTAAGCTAGTTAACTTAACTAGCTTACATTAGCATTAAAATGTTAGCTATCTATCTAATTAGTTAACTAGCTCACATTAGCATTACAATGGCAGCTATCAATCTAATTAGTTAACTAGCTCACATTAGCATTACAATGTTAGCTATCTATGTAATTAGTTAACTAGCTGACATTAGCATTACAATGTTAGCTATCTATCTAATTAGTTAACTAGCTCACATTAGCATTACAATGGCAGCTATCTATCTAATTAGTTAACTAGCTTACATTAGCATTACAATGTTAGCCATCTAGCTACGGCCAAATATGTGGCTCTCGTAATTCAAATTAGAGTTTAATTGAACACCCTAGGTCAGACTTAAAGTGCTGACCTGTGTCTGGAGTTACGGCAGTGAGAGTCTTTATAAAAAGACTGTTTTACAGATTATCAGTGGGATGCATTTACACAGATGTTTCAGAGGAATACATTTCTATATATGATATGAAACACCTTCCGTTATGCTTACTGACAGAGTGTGTGTAGATGTGATATAACAGAGGTTATGAAATGGCCTTGCCCCCCGTCTCTTTGTTCCCTGCTGACCTTGTGCACCACTGGGAACATCAGTGGAGGTGTGTGTGTGTGTGTGTGTGTGTGTGTGTGTGTATTCCACATTTCAGCACACACACGTCTCTTTATGTCCATGCATGTGTGTGTGTGTGTGTGTGTGTGTATTCCACATTTCAGCACACACACGTCTCTTTATGTCCATGCATGTGTGTGTGTGTGTGTGTGTGTGTGTGTGTGTGTGTGTGTGTGTGTGTGTGTGTGTGTGTGTGAGGTGTGTGAAGTGAAGAACAAAGCCCCCAGTCAGAGTTCATCCTCACAGCTGTTTGACTGAAACTGAAAATATGTCCTGACTGCCACTCACTGTAGCTTCATCCAGGTAACATAAGCATCAACATGTCATAATCAAAAACTCCTCGTCTTCTTAATTGAAAACAGTCTGAATGCATGCAGCTTTATGGTGTTCTCTGTGTCTTTAATTGAATCTAAGGCGTCAGTGCTCATGCGAATCTGACGGTTCTCCTTCAGACACAGTGTGAGTTCTCATTATCACAGGTCTGGGTGGATCATAAGAGAAAAGGCTTTCTAGAGTCCAACAGCGCTCACAAAGGGACGCCATGGGAAAGGAGACACTCAAACTCTGTGACAAGATGGAAACACTTTAAGTCATTTTCTAAATCTATGAGTTCAGCCATAAAATGTAGCATTTATTATTTTCTAAATTTTCTAAACAGATACCATAAAACCATCTGAAAACATTTGTGTCTTTTTCACAATGCCACAGCACCATGATAAAAAACACAAAAAAGATAAATCTAGGTGTACGGAGCGGCTGAAAAGCTGCTGGTCTGAACTTCCACTTCCTTCCAAGGTGTTTATTAAACTCTGACCATATAATTAACTTTATTAGGGCCATACCATACAGTCTATGGGCCATACACATACATATCGAGTGAGGGAACAATGCAGCGTGAGATGGGCCGGAGAATCGGAGCAGCGGGAGCGGTACTGCAGTCGCTTTACCGCACCGTTGTGACGAAAAGGGAGCTGAGCCAGAAGGCAAAGCTCTCTGTCTACCGGGTCATTTTCGTTCCTACCCTCACCTTTGGTCATGAAGGATGGGTCATGACCGAAAGAACGAGACGGCGGATACAAGCGGCCGAGATGGGTTTTCTCCGCTGGCGTCTCCCTTAGGGATAAGGTGAGAAATTCAGTCATCCGGGAGGGACTCGGAGTTGAACCGCTCCTCCTTCGCGTCGAAAGGAGCCAGTTGAGGTGGTTCGGGCACCTAGTTAGGATGCCACCTGGGCGCCTCCCTAGGGAGGTGTTCCAGGCACGTCCAGCTGGGAAGAGACCAAGGGGTAGACCTAGGACCAGGTGGAGGGATTATATCTCTTCGCTGGCCTGGGAGCGCCTTGGGACCCCCCAGTCAGAGCTGGTTGATGAGGGGAAAGTAACGTTTGGGGCTCTCTGCTGGAACTGCTACCTCCACGACCCGACCACGGATAAATGGGAGAAGATGGATGGATGGATGGAAGGGCCATACAGTTGATGCATGGACTGTAACGTTGCTACTGTAAATGGGTGCTTGGATTTACTTCGAAACACGTGAGGCAGAAGAACATTTCCAACAGGCACTGCACTACTATTTGTAGTTCGGTTTTCTACTACAACGTGTTTACATGTTCAAAAAACACATTCATTTTCACATACTGTCTGTCTGAATGTTCCTCTATTCACCCTCTGTCTGAGTCTCACTTGGTGCCTATCTCTTTAGAACCTCCCCAAAATAGTCAATAGAGAGGAGAAGTCCCGCTCTTCTACTTCCGCCCCATGGAACCTTATTTCTGAAAAAGTATGCATTGAAGTCAATGGAGAGAGAAAGATTATCTTTGATCCCGTTTGAATTGTGCCACGAATTACACGTATGATGTTTGTC